CCTGATTCATCGAAGAAATCTTTACATCCATTTTCACGCCTACCTGAATATAAAGTTCAATCAACCTCAACAACGACAAATTTCGTTGTTCCAAGTGTTTTACCCTTTCCATTAGAAGAATTAACAGTCAAATTACCGTTTCGTTTTCAAGCTGATAAACCTGGCATTTATTCAACAAGAATTATTTTATCATGCGGCGATGACATGCGCGAGTTCGAAATTGAAGTTAATTGTATGACGCAGAGTGAAAATGAAAAACAACCAGCGACGTTATACATGAGAACGAGCGTATTTACTCCTGTACAACAACATATTCCCATTGTAACTGAAGTTCCTTCTGAAGTAATCGTGTTATTGACACTTTGTTCATTTAGGCAAACGCGACTGAAGATGATTGGAATATGGTTGTCACTTTATCAGGTAACAAAGCATTTTCCGGACCCAAAGCATTTCGTGTCGAAGCTAAATCGGTGTATCAATATTCGCTGACATTTAATCCTCAAATTGAAGATGATAAATTCCAAGGACAAATGATCATCGATAATACCGATCTAGGTTTTCAACAAACATATAAACTGCGCGGCAAAGCAGATCGTGGACCACCTGTACGTTGCTTCTCTCGATATTATCTTCATCTCATTGTCTTGTCTTGTGTTCACAGGTTGGTCATTTACAAATCGAAAGTAAAGTTGGTAAAGTGTAAGTTGACAATGTTTACTTCTCTACAGATATTTATGGGTATTCTGTTTTAGAACAACACATTCAATTGAGATAGCTAATAAACGAGCGAAACGAACAGCATACTTTGTTACATGCAATCTTCCGTTCGTGCAAGGACCACCCTATGTTTGTATTGCACAAAAGAAAACTGCGCGATATGAGTTTCAAATATGTTCACCAAAACGAGGCAATTACAAGGGTGTTGTTGTGTTTCAACCTGGACCATGGCCAATTAAGTATGTTTGAGATAACTGCTAAAGAAAATTCTGATTTTTCAATAGGGATGTTGATTCCGATGGTGATGAAATTCCAGCATTAGAACCTGATGAACCTACAGATTTTCAATATTCACTCTGGTTTACTGTTGATATTAACGTTGAACCACCTGATCCACAATCAACTGTGGATTTAACTGCACCTTGCTTAGTATGTTCGATTTAGTATTGGTTCAGAATATAAACAACATGTTGTTTCGCTATCTGTAGGGTTCAAACTCGTTGATTGTTCCATTACGCAATCCGCTTGATCATCGAATACGTTTAGAAGCAGAATTTCAATCATTACCTGATGTTTCCGTGAGCGATTAATTTCGATAATGAGACATTAATTCCATTCTTTTTTCAGGGCAATGACACGATCGAGATTGATGCGAATGGTGAAGCTCGTTATGAACTTATCTACAAACCTAAAACTGTCGGTTGTTGGAATGGAGGGTAAGCAATGTTATACTGCGAGAAACTCTCCTAGAAAATGTATCATTTATTAATAAACGTCATGTATTCAGACATGCCGAATGGCAATTGACTTTCTAGTCGGATGCGTTCTGCGCTCCTTTTCAAAAGAAAAAAAATTTAATAATGAGTAATCGAGCATATAGGATACCATAGTTATTATTATTTATATCATTCGTAACGAAGAGAAATTTTTGAATAATCTTAACCCATAAATATCTTTGAAATTGTTTTAGTCTGGTGTTTTTCAATGAGGAGATTGGCGAATTTTGGTACAACTTAAATTTAACAAGTACCAATCCAAGAAAAGTTGATCTACAACCAATGAATGCGCCACTCGGAGGGTAAATATCTTTCGATAGTAGACCATTCACCTGTACGGCCTTATTTTCAGTTATACAACTCAAGAAATAACTCTTGAAAACCCATTAGATGAGCAAATTACTTTTCAAACGATGTCTTCGAATAATAACAACTTTTCACTGAACACCGATCAAGATATGATAACAATACCAGCGAAGAGTCAAACTAAAGTGAATGTGATCTTTAATCCTTCGTCCATTGGCAGCGGTACCGAGCAACAACCACATCAATCGATAATTTCATTTAGCAACGATAAGGTTAGTATACCGAAACGAGAAACTCGATTCGATCTCCGTGCACATCTATTAGATTCAAACCAATCGAGTCTCTTTTGCGAGTATTGATCAAGTAAAACAAAGCTTTATCTTGCTTATGCTGTCTGCTACTCCTAGTTGGGAAAATCGTTTAATTCTTCCGAAAGAAATCTCCTTTTTTGATTATGATCATGGAAAAACTGCTTTCTTTGACTGGTGTCTACGGTTTTCTATTTTAGGTTGGTACATTGACCTATAACGTTAAAGGTGTGGGTACAAAACCTCAAAAACTCCAGACGCCAGTGATTATAAAAACCGAAATCGGAGTCAGTGCGACTACAAATATCAGTTTTCAAAATCCATCGAACCACACCATCCGATGTGATTTGTCTCTTTCAACAGGTAACAGAACAATTTCATTTAACTTGACATTGACTAATCTTTTCTTCTCTATAGGCACAAGTAATTCGTTCCGTGTCGTACTTGATACGCTAGAAAATATCACATTGGGACCACGTGAACGATTCCCAATTCCGATTGCTTTCTGTCCGGAAATGTTAGCGCGACACGAAGCACAATTACGTATCATTGGACGATTATCACCAGGCAAAACATGGTCGCCGGACAAGTAAAACTTCTTTTCTTTCCTCTCGTGTTCCAAATTTCATCCTTCTATTGATTAAAGCGCGGATGCATCAGAACTTTCGTGGACTTATCCATTACAAGGTGTTGCATTTAACTGGATAGCGCAACGACGAGAAACGAATAATGAATTGAAAACAATTGAATGTGTATGTGGCGAACGAATTGAAGAACAACTTGAATTTGAATTAAACCAAGACTTATTTCGTTTCGACGAACGATATCTGATTAACAGTAAGAATTTCCGATAGTTTCGTTTCGTGTAGGAAAGAAAGTTTATTTTTAGTGAAGAAAAATGCGACAGCAATTGAAGATTATTCCATTGTAAATGAAAATAGTCCAAATCAAACATTTATCCAAAACTCCATTGGTATTCAACTACTGAAACGAGATAACGAAAAAACTAATATTGTTCGATTCAATGTTGTTTATTCTCCGACGAAATTAATCACGTATGAAGACCTTTCATTTGTATTGTGATATTCCACATGATTCGTTTTTTCAAGAATGGACTGTGTGCTTGTGTTGACACTTGGAAGTGGTGGCCAGTTGAAATATCCCATCCGTTTTGTCACACGCGATGCTCCGCCTGATGATGAAATAGTAGTAGAAGCTGTTGGATTGAACCGAATATCTACGATTGGTTTTCGTCTATACAGTCCCACAGAGTATGTGTATCTTTCTTTCTTTCATCGATTTTCAATCGTGTTGCATTTTAAAACTAGTGCACCGATTCCTTTCGAAGCGTATTTAACATCGAACAGTGATCGATCATTTAGTATCACACCTGAACGTGGAGATTTATTACCAGCCAGTGCGAATGGAACTTTGCTGAAATTATCATTCTGTCCAACTGTTTACGGACGAACATTCACCGGAATGTTAATTGTTGATGTATGTAGAACAATTATTTGCTTCAGAATTCAAATGAAAATTGACTACTTTCCCTTTGTTGTTCGTTGCAAAGAACATCGATCACGTTTGAGACATGACTTATCACCTGCTATCTAGCATATGTCGGAGAATTTCAATAGAAAACGAGTTTGGAAAGAGAAATATCAATTTTGATAAAACAGAATTCTCTAAGAACATCTTGCATCAAATGTCATTCTCTATCATTAATGGAATTTAAAATACTTCATCAGATAACGAGATTTCCTCTCTCTCTCTCTCTCTCTCTCTCTCTTCTACTCAACAAAAAGTTCATTAGTGAATTGAGCGTTCTCCCGCAACATCAGATGTTGAAAACACCTCGAGTTGACTGCTCCATAGACGATCGGCAATGTCGACGTTAACAAATGTTCTACACGACTTTCACTTCATTGTCAAATTCGATTGAGAGAGTTTGCATTCAATCGATTAGTCAATCTCTATCCTTTTAGGCCAAAGATAATCAATGGAAGTATGTCGTCCGGGGTTCATTACCACAATACGAAGCACCGAAAACACATTCAAGTTTGCCATCTGTTAACAGTGATGACTATGCTAGTCGACGTGGATACAAGAAACGAAATTTTATCCTCGAAAATCTTCAACTTCATCAAACAGCGATCTCATCACCGATTAAAGGTGCATCTGTATTAACAAAGCCAAACGAAACCACCAGTGTTTGATAAACTAGACCTTCTTTTTCACATCGATTTTTTACGTCTGTCTTCCTTTCCAGTGATTGTTTCTTCACATAAAGAAAAACGCCGACCTGCCGCTTAGGTTAATTGGAAAGTTCGACGGTTTTATTTGTTTTTCTTTTCTTCGTTGGACATTTTTGTGATCACATAAACAGAATTCTTTTCAATCTTATTTTCAGATGACATCAGCGTTGAAAACAAGCGAAGATCCGGTCACCGAACGAAAGAAACTTTACATAACCGAACGGCAAATTCCCGCTTTGTTCGAAGTAGAAATCTTTTCTGAAATGTACCAGTATGTTTCCCAAGACTTTTTAGGCACTGATCGCTGGATTGATGAATAACGAACCGGATGATCATTTGGATTTCATCATCGAAAGCCTAAATGAAGTTTGTTTGATGGATTATGCTTCGATAAAGTTTTGTTAATCTGTTTATTTAGATGAAAAAGGAGAAAATACCCTTACGATGGGACACTTTCATTGAAATGCATGATAAGAAGAAGAATTAGATTTGTGTATTTTGATTAGTTTTGATATACAAATGAAAATCATTTTGGGAATGAAAATAGACGCGTGTTTTGTATTTTTTTTTAGACAATCACTTAAAAACCTTAAGTCCAGTTTATATTGTGCAATTCAGTGAATCTCCTTCGAACAATCATGGCGTCTAAACCTCATGGAATATACAGTAACCAAAACGCAGTGAATTATATAAATAAAAAAGGAATCGATGAACTATTCGAGGTAGAGTCATTGCCAGAAATCTTCTTCTTGATTTTTATCTCCATTTTCCAGGCGATTATGACGGCGCTGATGGTTCATAAACCAGATGATCACATTGCTTTTATTCGTGAATGTTTAGATAAGGTTAACTTACTACGCATGTCGTTTTCGTATAGAATTCGGTCTTGTTTTCGCATTGTCTAGGTGCAAAACAATCCACATCGCGTTCGTTGGGATTTGTTCGTGACGAATAACAAAGGTGCCTTACCGTCCCGACCGTCTACTCTTCGCAATCGGCAAAAAATCTTACCGCCAATGCGTTCAACAAACTCAACACCGCGAACAAGTCAATCATTAGATCGAAAAGCTCCAGTGAAAGCGCCAGCATTGCCACCGATTGACCACAACAAGCGTCTTTCTCAAAATTTACCTATATTACTTCTTCTAAGTAATTTAGTGCTCTGAAAAATGAAGACGAAAATACTTGTTTTCTCTTCAGGTTCGTCGAATGCAACGAAATTATGTGCACGATTATTAGAACGATACAATCAAGTATCATTTCTATCCATCGAAGATATTGCTAATATCGACTACGATGGTCGTTTAGGTAAAACGACAATTTCGAATATACAAAGAGTGAGATCATCTTTAATATTTAGATCTCACCAAGCAAGAACATCGATATCATTGTATACAAAACGCCATCGAACAGTATCGTTCGACTTCTAACGGTTTTATCATCGCAGGTCATCTAGATGAGAAACATTTCTATCGAAAATGGCTCGAAAAAGTATTGTTCGACTATATACACTATGATTCCTATGAATTATTTTGTAGCTTGGACGTATTGACGCCATGATTATTTTATCTACCGATCGACTCAGTGTTGCCAATAGAAATCTGAATATAACTCAAGTAATTTAATTCAGTCATATATAGATACGGAACATAATCGAAGTGTTTCAGATCAACCCAAACAATAATTTCGACATTATTCTTGCTGAAGCCGCTCGCGTCACAGATGAAATTTTCCCATTGAACGTAAGAAATCTGTCCGAAACACACAAAAACGAAGAGTATTTTCGTTTGTAGACATCTAAGCCAAAATCATCTGAATTGACTCAACCGACCAGCAATGGTCAGCATGTGCCGATCATATTTTGTATTGACAATTATCAATTACCGGTGAAAGAAGCGAAGCATCCGAGAATTAGTGCACGATTATCACTAGATGCCGAATTCGAAAACATTGAGGATGAAACTGAAGAGGAAATCAACAATTCATTTATACACGCATTAGCGGAACGAATAGCGGAAGATTTTTCGTATAAATCACTTCATTATATTGATTTCAAGCAATCATTTCTCCGTTTCGATCAATTAAAAGCAACTATGCTCGATTCGATGAGTACATGTACTGGTTATGTTATTGATGGTTTTCCAACGTCATCGGATGAACTTCGAAAGTTTCAAACTGAAGTAGGAATTGTTCGATCGTTTTGCAAAATGAAATACGTTTTGTTTCTAACAAAGATTGGACCTTGTTCTGCGTTGATTTACATTGGTGAAGAGCAACCGGAGACGAATAATGAAGAATTCAATGCCATTATTGACAAGTTCAAAGCAGAAAACAAAGCTATCTATGTAAATTTTCTATCGTTTCATTGGATTGATTTCTTTTTCGTTTGTTTAAAGGTCGATGGTCGAGTCGAAGTTGATGAAATCTATGAAGATCTAAAAAAAGATATTCTCAAACGTATCTAACGAACAAAACTCATCTATATTTCATGTTTTACCGCAATAGTCCATATATTTTTTCTAGTCGTTGTTTCTCTTTCTACATCTAGTCTTCGCGTGATGTGACATGTGCAATATAGTGGGTCAGACTTCTTTTCCTTCTCTCTTGCTTTCATTCTGCTGTGCTCTTCCTCCATCCCCATTCTGGTCTTATATATATTTTTTTGGTGTGTATGTGAAAAAAAAGTCTATACGTCAACCAATGAAGCGAGAGTTGCGTTGGTGATCAAAAGCATTTTTCTCCTTTTCTGTCAGTCGTTTTTTTATACCCTCGTTCTCTACAAACTATTTTTGTGAAGAGAGTTATAGTGTGGCATGTTCAGTCGTTCGTCGTACTATGTTGTCTATCGAAGAAAGAAAAATGTGGAGTAATACAAGAAGAAACACAGTTTCGAGCTCATTGTTGTCTTATTTCTAGATTTTCTTTTTATTTTGTTAATTAAGTCAAATAAGTTCGTTTGAAAATGACATGTACACATGGAAATGCTAATACTGAATTAGCAAAAGAATACATTTCCAAGCGAAAAATTCCACAATTGTTTGAAGTAACTCTTTCCTCTAAGCTAATCGATCAATTCGATCTGATCCGATTCCTATCGCTTTAGGCATTAATCACTGGCCTTATGGTTCATAAGCCAGAAGATCATCTCGAGTTTATCATAAATTCATTAAAACGAGTAAGTCATTTTCTGATCGAGTCCTTCTCACCGTTGCTATATAGTACAAAGATGGAAATCAACAATTGAAATGGGATGAATTCATCGAACGTAAAGGTGGAATGCACAATATATTAGCACCGATTACTAAATCGACGGATTTGAATACAGCACCTGAAATCGACAACCGTCCGCCGAAACTTGATGCTATACCTGCTGGTAAACACGAAGAAAAACCGAAAATTCAAGAACGACCACAATCTCCAACTCCGGATCAGCAGCTCAAACACGAACAAGAAAGAGCACAAGCACCGAAGTTCGATCAACAACACACAAGTAATGACGATAAGGCTAAACATCAACCACAACAGACGACAAATGCTCAAGTAACTGAGCACAAACGTTCATTACAAGGCAAGCCGATAGTTTTCGTTGGTGGTGGACCAGGTAATAGTTCAACTGCAACTAATTCGTTTTCGAATAGTTTGTTTAGGTAGTGGTAAAGGTACACAGTGCGAGAAAATGATTGAGAAATATGGTTTCACACATCTATCAGCTGGTGATTTGATTCGTGCTGCTGTTAAAGATTCAACATCAGAAAAGGGTCGTTATTTCAATGAAATCATGTCTCAAGGAAAACTCATTTCTACTGTAAATATACAATCTAAATAATTCTCCGTTAATAAGTCGTTTCTGTGCTGCTAGGAAGACATTCTCGGTTTACTTAAAGACGTAATTTATGAAAGAGCTAATCAAGCATCGGGATTTCTGATTGACGGATTTCCACGTCGAGTGGATCAAGGTAAATAATGGAAATTAACTTTCTATACAATATTTCTCCGTATTGATCAACTTCTAAAATTGCACTTCCTCCTTTTTCTTTTCCAGTATTTTCAATATTTTCCTCGTAAGTTACTGATTAGCACTTCTCTGATTTGAACTGCTCTCTCTCTCTCTCTCTCTGATTAATCATTCGATTGTATATCTTGAAAACTCACCGTATGTTTCATATCGTATTTAGGCATTCAATTTGAAAAAGATGTGGCTGTATGTGACCTGTTCATCTACTTCGATGTACCTGATAATGTGATGATCGAACGATTACTGAAACGTGGAGAAACTAGTGGACGGGTTGATGATAACCAAGAAACGATCGCAAAGCGTCTGCATACATTTAATGAAGAAACTACACCCATCTTAGATTATTACAGCAAACAGGGTAAACTCGTCAAAATTGATGCAAATAGAAAACCAGATGAAGTGTTTACGGACGTATCAAAAGCATCAGATCGATTATTGTCACATTATCAAGTAGGTAAACAAGAAGAGAATCCTCTTCAAGTGTTTTCTCGTTTATTCCATTTTCGATGATCAATCTAAAAACTTCATTTTCTCTCATTTTAGACAAATGACCATTCTCATTCATCCAACAAAGGTACGTCTATATGTATTCTAAACACATTGCTGATACCCAAATCAGTTCCTTAGAATGGAAATTTGGTTTTCGATAAGCCTATTTCTCTTTCGTAGATAGTAAAGAAGATAACAACTCTTCTGTTAATCGATAGATATATTTTTGTGGGATATTTATCCCAAAAAGTCCTCTGAGTCGATCTGACATTAACGCGCATTGCTGTTGTTTTTTTGTCTTGTGCGCAAGTCGAGCAACAAAAGCAATAAGGCAATGCCTAAAAGGTTATTTCTCGATGGGTAAGCAGAGAACGGGTTTGTACATTTTCTAGTTACGATAGTTTCTTCTTCGTTTACCACAATATATTATTCAGGAAGCTTTGTTGCCTAACATACTTTTTTCTTCGCGTTCTCACAACCTACGCCTATCGTCTTCTTTTGCTTTCTTCCTTTTTTGTCTGTTTTTTTTTCGCTGGTACCAATACACTTTATACTGATCTTTCCTCTTTTTCTTCGGCATCTCATCTTGTGTTAGGAGTTATTTTCGAGAGTCTTTAGTCAGCAAGAAACAATAAAAATGACACAAGGTGAGCAGACGATTTGATATTTCCGTCGTACACTCCACTCGATGTATTTTATATTGATTGTTTTTCTATCATAGTTATCGAACGCAAACCGGACTTAGACAATTTGAAAAATTCGAAGATTATCTTCGTTGTTGGTGGACCGGGATCAGGAAAAGGTACTCAATGTGAACGCATTGTTCAAAAATATGGTTTCACACATTTGAGCACGGGGTATGTCGATGATTGAGAATGAAAAAACCTGACTGATTGATCGTCTCTTCAGAGATCTTCTTCGTGAAGCTGTTCAATCCAAATCGGAACGTGGTGAACAACTCAATGCCTTGATGAAAGAAGGCAAATTAGTTCCAATGGTAGGTGATCTTCAATGTCAAAGTGTTTAATAAACAACGATCTGTAGGAAGTTGTTCTCGATTTGCTCAAAGAAAACATGATTAAAAATGCTGACAAATCAAAAGGTTTTCTCATCGACGGCTATCCGCGTGAAGTTCCTCAAGCTCAAAAATTCGAAGAAATGGTAAGTTTTTTCTTGAAATCTCCTTTTCAAAGGCCGTCTCTTTCGATTACTTTCAGATTGCTCCATGCAGTCTCGTTCTCTACGTCAAAGCAAGCGATGACACAATGACAAAACGCTTATTACACCGCGGCCAAACATCTGGTCGAGTCGATGATAACGAAGCAACAATTAAGAACCGTTTACAAACCTTTCATAACCAAACATTACCGGTCTTAGATCTTTATCAAAAGCAAGGCAAAGTAGCTGAGGTATTTACTCACATTCTCTTTTCGCTGATCCATTTTGTTCTTCGATCGTTTCTTCATAGGTCAACTCAGAATTGGCACCGGATGATGTCTTTGGCGAAGTACGCAATGTGCTTGATAAACTTGCATAATAAATCGGCAAATGAATACATCAACGAACTGAATAATTAGATGAGCTTTAATTTTAACGAACAAAATCTATCAGTGTGAACTATTTTAGTTACTTTGTTAATAGATCTTCTCTTTTGAATTTTCTATTTTTTATGCCTTTATTTTTTTAGCATCGATTTCCTTCCCTTCACCAACACTCCATGATTTTCAATCATCGCAACAAATCCTATACCATCATTTTTCTGTATAAATAAATAGCAATCAATTAATTATTCGAACGGTGAAAACAAAAAACGACTTTTCTTCGGCAAAAAGCGAGAATATAGATACCCTTATTTATTTTTCTCTATTCAAAAACATTTTTCCTTGGGACTACTACTATTAACACGTGTTTATATTGAAAACATCGATCAGTCAACGAAGCAGTGTGTAAGGACAGTCATTCTGCGTTCGGTATAGATAGTTCACATTATATATTAGAAATATTATGTCATTTCGATAAAGGCATAAAAACAGACTATGAAAACGACTTCTTTCGCCCACCTTCGACGTCTGACTGTCTGATTGTTCTAAGTAAACAAGAAAAAAAGTGCATTTCGTTACTTTTGACATTTAATGCACGAACAAACATGCCACTTACTCGTACACAGATACATTGATCATGAAGGCTTTCTTTTTATTTGATTACTAGTCCCACGAGTGACTGTAGAACGGATATATATACGGGAGAAGTTACCTGTACATGCTTATTTCATATTGTGTAGTGTCAGCCAACCCTATCGTAGATTGTTTGGAGACAAGCGTTCTTTTTTCAAAAAGCATGTTGAGTATACCAAACGAGATTCCAACGTTCGAAGCTGATCCAGATATATTAGAAAATTTATCAAGTTTTTTGCATTGGCACGAACACGTTCTGAAAGAGTTTGGTGGATTGAAAATCCAGCTGAATGGAAACTGTCAACTAGCTTTGAAAAAGCGTCTTATACGTCCATTATCACAACAAGTACAAAGAGTGCACCGAAACGCCAAGGACTGCGGAATGTATTCAATCCAAAGTGAAGTGGGACTCCGACAACCCTACTCAGACGATCTTCACATTGAAAACGAAATCAATTTCTGGGCTCATCTCTCAAATGGCAATGAGAAAAGAACTTTACAATCAAATATCTCCATCATTCAAAATAAAAGCTTATTTTATCAAAAATGGAATAAGAAATACTTCTCCATCCACCGAGTGTTGAAACAAAGTTTATTAAAATTAGCCGGAACGAGATTTATCGACAAAATGCATTCGAACTTACTTTATACAGATGGAAACTGTGCGATATTTCCTTTAGAAACTCATCCAAACAAACTTTCATCGATAATTTTTCACCATCAAGGCGGACCGAGATATTGGTACATAATTCCTTCATCGCAAGAGCATCTGCTACAAAAATACTTTCTATCCAACAAATGTGTCTATCATCAACAGTACTTGATCGATCCAAGTTTATTGGATCGATATAATATTCGTTATCATCGAATTGTTCAACGGTCGAATGAAATTGTTGTCTTAGCGTCGGGTAGTTATCATGAAAGTTTCTCGTTGGGAGGTTTACTGAATGAATCGATTGACTTTGCATTACCACATTGGATTAATGATGATCATATCTTGAATCAATATGATTCATGTCAATGTCTAGCTGAACAAACAAAATTTTATCAAAGAATTCCTTTGTATTTGTTTGATAAAAATGACGTGAAAACATATATCGAGAAATATTCGAAGGAATTCTCGCAAGAAGGTTTGTGCTTTGATTGTTGCAATGATAGTGTAATTGATTTCTCGATTTAGGTGAAGAGAAATCCTCAATGGAAAAGGAGCAATCATCGGAATGTTCAGAAGAAAGTCTGTCTTTACTTTCCAATCAGAGTTTTCAAGTTCAAAACGTAGAAGAAGAGGAAGATTTCTACAGGTTTGTTTTGTTTGAAATTCTCCTTAAGTAGTTGATTTCTTTTCGTTTAGCACAAATACCTTCTCCAATACTCCGATTAATAACTATGAAAATCTATTAACAAATGAATGTGTGCAACCATCACCATTGTTAAGTGGAACAATGTGGAATTCGTGTGAGGAATTCGCTTCAATCGACGACGTTTTCAATGTTATTTTTGATGATTCATCAGCGGAAACTGAGCAGCAGAAGTTATTTGTAAGAGAAGAAAAGAAGATTTATTACGATTAGAAAAATACTTTCATCTTTAGACGAACACTGATGAAAAACACGATCGAAAAATCAGCAAAACAGACTTGCCCCTCCAAAAACATTCAGATTGCTATCGAAAATTACTTTTATTTAATATATTTTCGAATATCACTAAAAGTCAACTGTATAAACAGTTCCCTGCAGCGGTCAAAATCGTAATCAAACCATGTCAAACGTCTCCATCAACAAAGTAAACAAAACGCGAAGAAGTCTTTTGCATTCGAATTTATTTCTGTTTAGTTATGCGACTATTCGATACAAAAGAGCCAAAGATGCAAAGAGAGATTTTATTTCCCCGCCTAACTTAGCATCGCTTGGTTCGAAATGTTCACTGGCGTACGAAAACGAATCTGCGTGCAGCGTAAGCGTAGATCAAACATACAATGACCGGAAAATCGTTGTTCAAGATATTCCACAATATGTCACAGAGACTAATTTACAGAATTTGTTTCCCCTCTGCACCATATCCCGTTATTGTCCTGCAAAAACAACCTTTTGGCCAGATAATTCAATAAAGAAACGCTTCATGGGGTAAGGTTTTGTAAAGAAAATTGAGAGAATTGTTTTTATGAAGACTATTTCTAGGTATGCTTTTCTTGTCTGTGATACAATTGAAGACAGAATAAACATTATGGCAGATCCTCAGCGATACAAACTCAATGGGCAACTATTGAAGCTTTCTTTGTATAAAAAAAAGATGTGATTTCCAGTGAGGGATGTTCATAATAAAACTACTTTCTTGTGCAAACATGTTTTTCTGGACAAAATCGAACGCATATTTTCTTCCGATGAACGGCGACCTCTGTTGACTAGCTTCAAGTGTGGTTATAAAATATATCCGAATGCATAGCACTTCATATCATATACTATACTAGGCTAGGTTTTTTAATTTGTTGGAAAAAGTAAAAGAACAGCTGATCTATTTTTCTTTACTTCAGACAAAGAAACCTTTTATTCATTGAGAAAGATAAGAATATGGACCGCATCGTATGTTATGTTTTTCTTTGTGGGTTCTCAGTACTTACTCGCTTGTTTTTTCATGTTTCAAGGCATTCGAAAAAGATCTTATTGCGATTTTACTTGTTGTGGAGAGTGCACATGATAAAAATAAACTTTTGTATAAATATGAACAAGCGAACAGGAATATACGAGAACGTATGTACTTCCATCTTCGTTAATTGATTTCCAGAATCCACGGTCGATCATTTTTGTCTAGCTGAACCAGTTAATTTTCATACAAGCTACTCAATTGTCATTGCTAAAGATTTCGATCCGCCCAGGTAGGCGGTTTTTCCATGAAACAGTATTGAAAGAGAGTCTATGGGAATATTTAGTGCGAAAGACGATGATGCACCTCGAACAACATTTCGAAAGTAAGTATTTGCTTCGAATTGATGATTTTATTCCGTGACGATTTTTCATTCTTTTAGTTTCGACGAAACGACTATTGCAATTTTAACAAGTCCGAATAGTTATGGAACTCATGTGGAAGTTCAAGTCGATGATGTCATCTTCGTTGGCCATACCCTTGGCTTAGAACAAAGTACAGATCTGAAATCATTCGCTGTCTTTTTCGTTCTACGAGTATTGATACTCTTAAAGACTTTTGACGAACATTCCCATTTGAAATTTATTAGGCCATTGCAAAAGCATCAGTTATCATATCCTATCAAGAAATGAGTCAACGTATTGGTACAGCGATTCGTTGTGAAGAGCAGCGTGTGCACTATTTGAAAAATGAATACGATAAATTATTAACGTTTATTCAACCACATGAGATCGCAGCATCCGATTCTTGTAAAGTATTAAAAAGAAGTTGTTCTCGAATATCTCATGTCATGTTTGTTTAGCAAATCGACGGCAAAACGAAGACGATAAAGCGAGAGAAATCAGAGAACAAGCGTATTCAATGATGGCTGAAGAAAGTCAACTAGCAGCAACGTTAAAACAAATCTTTACTGAGTACGTCAAAGTCGAATAGATTACAAAGAATATATTCCTTTTTTCATTAGTTTACAAGTTTCCGGTGAAATTAACATAACAATTAATAATTGGTTGAATGTTTCTTGTTGTCTACCACATCGATCTATTGCTTTGAACTGTTCATTAGAACCAGATTTCGCGTTTAATGTGCTTTCAAATGCCGAGCAAATTCTTAAGTAAGTAATCGCAATTGATTACTTTTTAAATTATTTCTTTTTCTTTCATTTCATTCACTAGACCATACTATGGCATATTACTTGTTATTGATCCATCAGCTTTACTTGCGTCGCTACCAATAGATAGTTCATCGACACTGAGTACACTCGTTCGACATTTACGTTCATCATATTCAATGTCTCGATTATCAATCGAAACTGGTCTTCCGCTCACTCAAGTAAATCAAATACAAGTTTTACTTATTCATTAAAAAGAATGATATTATAGATCTATCGTCTTGCATCTCATTTGCTATATTGGGGTCGAGCTAAACTTATCTATCCGATCTATGACGATAATGTTTATATAATCTCACCCGACGCAGATATATCAAAGTATATTGAAGCTTTGAATGTTCTTGTTGTTCTTGAACTTTTGTTTCATTAGAAACGGTTCTTTATCTAAACTTTACAAAGAAACATTTCGAAATACGACAAATTACCCAACATTACAGGAAACCTTAGCCGAATATTCCGATGCCGTACCCTTCTATGATCACATGACTCGTAGTGATAGTGATTCCGAATTGGTACGAGCATGTCTTTTTCTCTGACTGAAAACATCACCAAATTTTCTGTTCTTCAGCAAGAACGTTTTCAATGTGTTGAATGGTTACTTCGTCATCGTCTACTTGTCCAAGTTCACTATTACTACTATCTTCTTTTACCGAATGATAATCGAAGCGATTTCAAAGAGGAATATAAACAAACACGTTTGCCGCGACCACGTGTACCTCTTGTGAGACTTTTGTCTGAAGTGCCAACTTTGCGTAAGTGAAGAACGAATTCGTTTTGTCTTGTTTTTTAGCGACGTAATCAGTACTCGTCGAACCTTTTTGAATCGTCATCTAAAAACGAACGTTTTCATTTAACGAGTGAAAATATTGATATTCGGGGAAATCTATTGAGTGTCAATAGTTATGATTATAATATGGGTAATAGGTTTTGTCTTGAATATTTTATGTTTCGTGCTCTATTGTGTGTTATGCTGCTCTTTCGATTTCTCTAATTCAGTCGATACTTTCGAATTGAATGAAACTATGCCTTTCCTTTTGATTTCAATGTTCAAATTCTGGTTACATTGTTTCATTTCTCGTCGAGAACACCTTTGTTCGACTATGCGATATGTTTTTCTGCTTAGCTTCATCACCGTCGACCAATCAATTCTCCTACTCATCCGCTCATCATTCCAGATCAACAGATACATTGAAAACAATGACGGGCACTAGTCAAGATGACGTGTTTGCTGCAAGTTCAATCAACAGTAATACCACAACAGATACTGGTCGATATGCTTCACATTATCTTGCAAAAGTATCACAAGCACTACCAAACGAACGACTTGAATATCAAAAGAATCTTGCAATTGCCATGAAAGATGCAAAAGAACAACATGTGACTGATTTTCTCCGGTAAATTATCTGATTTTTCTGAATAATTTCACGTTTTCCATTCTCCGCTATTGTAGGTTGATTAAATATCTTAACGGAACCTATCATCTTGAAGAAATCGCAGCTATGGAAAATATGACACGTTTACAAGTGTTGACGATCATTGAGAAATTCCAGTCGATTGTTATTCGGGCGCTTCATCCAGACCCTAATCCAATTTTGCAGATATAATTCTACAAAATATCGAACATTTTTATGTATTTCATCCGGTTTTTCTCTCTAATTCAAAAGTTTTTCGTGTATCTGTATTTATATGAACAGTGATTTTGTTGTGTTTTTATCAAGTATTTACTTCGTTTCAGATCATTTCGGAAAGAACAATGAATTTCACAATCAAATTGAATAGTTATTTCTATTGCAAATAAACTAACTACATACTCTGCGAACAGAAAAGTTTATAACGAAAGTTTGATTTCACTTGTGCGGTATATAATACTTATAATCGGGTAAGTTTTACTGAAGAAGACAAGAATTCGAAATATGAAATTCTATTTTGACAGATGGGAGGAGATTGTTCGATTTTAGATAGCTAGTATTCATGAATAATCCAAAGATTACGCCTCGAGAAAAAGATGATGTGGTCATTGAAGAGGAAGGTGGTGTGTTCGAACGGAAAATTGAACATGCTCGTTCATCAGCACAAGGCAAACGACAACGAGATGATTATTCTGATGACTCACAGAACAAGTATAGGCAACATTCGGACGGTAGTCGTTTTGCTACGACAACTACACAACAAGATGCATTACCTGTTCCATTTTGGAAACGTATCAATCGTGGACAAATTGCATTTGAAACTCGTGAGGTCGGTTGTTTTTCGTTACTCAATCGAACAGATGATAAAGAGTGTTTCGATGACAAACGATATCTTCGTGGTAAATCTCTCTTTTTTCATGTTTCATTCATGCTTTTGTTCATTTCAGTGTACAAATATCCACTTCAAACATTGAACGTCAATTTCGATTTAAAAATTGGCGAAGCTGATTTTGTTTCTGAAGGTCAAAGTAAAAATATCAATGCCATGCTTTGGTGGCTGTTGCAACGTAAACAAGATATTTACAAAAACAATCGGTTGAGATCTCGAGTTACAGACGACATGTGTTAATCATGTAGTCTTTTTCGTTTCTAGATTTACCTTCGATTTTTTGTCATGGCGCGGTGTTCTTCGTCTAATCATGTTCTCAATATTTGAAAAACAGTCCGACTGGTTATTAGCAGTTGTGAAATTTAAAAATGCGTATTTTCTGTGCGAGTACGTCACGGAAAAACAATTGAAAGAGGAAGAAAATATGTCACCTGAACATCGGTCATTCTGCTACTACGGGCATAAATTTGAAGAGTATGTCACTAAGAGTAAGTTTCATTTCGAAGTTTTACTGGGAAATGTTTGCATTCAATTCTTAGATAATCTTTCTACGGAAACGCTCAACCCTTCGAAGCAATTCTCGGGAGTGTTTCAATCAACTATCGGCTCCTATCGGTTGTTATACGGTGCTGAAATGGATTGTGTGATCGAACAATCATCATCCATAACTGAACACATCGAACTTAAAGTCTGTGCTGGAAAAACACTCGATGATTTACCATTTCGCCAGTAAGTGTCACATCGAATATTTTCTCACTAGTTTTTCTACTCGTCGTAGTAATCGTAAATTCGCTAAATGGTGGATTCAATGTTTTCTTGTTGGTAAGAACTATTCGTGTTCTTTTCTATCTGATATGAGTACTTTTGTGAATTGTCTTCCAGGTATCAAAAGGATGATCATTGGTTTACGCGATAATAATGGTATTGTGAATACTGTTTGTCCGTTGGATATTTCTTCGATCGAACGAGCAGCAGTAATCTATTTTCAACGAAATTTTATGCATTTAATCTCTATATGCGTCTAGGAAACGTGGAATCGTTCATCGTTTTTCAATTTCTTTCTTATTTTCGCGGATTTTCTCTCGAAACACGTCATCACCGATTATACAAACGATTATAAGTAAGAATTCAAGTTTGTTTGAATCAAAAGAGAAAACTTCTGTCTATTGAATACTTTTCAGAGACGTTGTCTTATTTCGTTTTCTTCCATCGTTACAAAAAATAACTGTCGAAAAATCCTCGGATCCAAAGTATCATTTTATTCCTGATTGGTTTTCCAAAGAATTTCTCTAGTCAATCTCATTCTGTATAGATTTATTCAATAAAATCAATTATACATAACCAAGTGTTTGTTACTTAACCATTCTTTTTCTTGCCATATTGAAAATGGCTGCCATCTTTTCGAATGTCACCATTCTTGTCCGAGGGATGATAATGAGACTTCTGACCACGTTCATTGTGGTGAATTGGAGGTCGACCACCACCTTGTCGTCGTGCCGCTTCTTCCGCTTCTTTTCGAGTATTTTTATGTATGAAATGCTGACGTGGTTTACCACTTCCACCAGCACCTCGACCCGGAATACGAATAGGTCCTTGTTCACTGTCTACATAGAACGAACGGATAAGAAAATGACTGTAATTTTGCGTAAAACATACTTGAAACAAGACAAAGTAATACAAGACCAATGGCGAGAAAAATGGCAAATAGTTTCATTTTGTTGTACAATAATCGACATAGAACTGAATCTGTTGCACAGTTTTATACCAATGCTCCGTGTGTCTTATGACGAAGTTATTTTTAGAAATGTCCGATAAGATTAAATGACAAAAAGACATTTTCAGGATATTCTCTCTTATGGGAGAATTCTTTTCCGTCCCATCTCATCCTACACAAAGTTTGATAATTCATGCCGATAACAATAGCACAGAGACTCGTCTTATTCACGTGAGACAAGTCAGATAAATAAGTAATATGCACTTTTTCAAGGTATTGTACAAATATTATTTAAGTACAATTTGGACGTATCTGAATGGTTAATTCGTGTCGCTTTTGCAAACGAAAAGCAATGAACAATCAATGATTCTTGTCGTCTATGTAATTATGTAAAAATGCAATTTAGATTCTATGTCGTTTGTTTGTTTATTCTGATTTCTAAATGATTGATAGATACAGATGCACATTAGTATGACATCACCTGAAAGAAGATTGTCAATCTAATCAGCGTCTCGCTCTTCAACTAAAGAATAATTTATATAGAGTAAAACAAGCAACGGTCGATTGATAGTTTTTCTCCTGTGAATAATTACCGAAAATTTTATCGGTGATGGGTAATATTTTCTTGCCTAGATATGTGTCACACCATCGTAAATTTCTATCGAGGGCATTCTTAGGGCTATAGGGCCCACGACACATCTCTATCTTTGAAACCTTGGCTCGCCGATGTGAAGAATTTTCTTAGAACTTCAGAAATCCGAAAGAAAATTCACAAAACTTGTTAAACTGCTTCAATATTTTGAAAAGTCAAAAACAAAATTTGCACATATCATCGACGCTCCGTCAGTTTCTCCACCTTTCACACACCCTTAGTTTTTCTTATTAAACTCGTATATAAAAGCAAAGTATACATCCATTCACGTCGATTTTTTTCTTTCCTCGTGTTTTTATCCATATCTTCGGACTAAACAACAACAGCAAAATCACATTTGATTATTGCACTGTGTTTGTCGGTCACGCTTACTTTCACTTATCGGATCACGCACTACTATTAGTGACGACATGCCTTCAATAAATGATGCAGTCATTTTATCAACTACTGATATATCATTAAGTGTAAAAATGCCCAATCAGCATTGTAATGGGGATCATCAATCAACAACTCCTCAAGGTATTCTCGAGCGGCAAGCAGAGAAATGGCAAGTTTCACTAACAAGTAAAGCATTCGCTCATAAACTTGATGAAACTGATCCGTTAAAACATATGCGAGATGAATTTGTGATTCCAACAATCGGCGATCTCCCAAATGGTACGTTTAAATCAATCTGATTCGTCTCTTCATGTTACTCGAAATCAATTTCTTTATTTATTTAGCGGATGCAACACGATTCGATTCGAATAGTGAATCAATCTATTTATGTGGTCATTCATTAGGTTTACTACCTAAACGAGTGCGAACAGCGGTCGGTGTATGGCTTGAAGACTGGGCAAAACTGTAAATCTCTAACAAAGAAAAACAGGATTTCCTAGTGGACGGAAGCTTGTTTGTTTAGAGGAGTTCATGGACACGTTCACGGTAGAAGTCCATTTGCAAAGTGTGATTATCCATGTATTCCAACACTGAAGAAACTGCTTGGTTTGTTCGATTGTTTTTATTCAGAGATTCATAGCAGTTCTTGTCACTGCTCTAGGCGCACAAGATCATGAAGTGATGGTGATGAATCAACTAACATCAAATCTTCATCTTATGATGGTTAGAAACACAAAATTTGATCAGAATTTTCTCATCTTGTTTTCTGTAGATCTCATTCTATCGACCGACAAAAGAACGTTTTAAAATTCTATACGAAGAACGAGCATTTCCCAGCGATGAATATGCGCTTCATTCACAACTGCGTTTTCACGGATATGATCCAAATATAGCATCGATTAAAGTCTCGCCGAGAAAAGTATATGGGATAATGATTTTTCGTTTCTACGCACGTTCTTATTCATGAATAGAATGAAACTTATGTGAGAACGGAAGATATACTCGATATCTTAGAGAAACAAGGTCAATCTATCGCACTGGTATTCTTCAGTGGTGTACAATATTACACGGGTCAATTATTTGACATGAAAACTATAACACGTGCCGGTCAAAAACAGGTAATGCATCACATCTACTGACTTCGATCATATTTTCAGACAAATATTTAGGGATGTGTGGTTGGTTGGGATTTAGCTCATGCACTTGGCAATGTTCCGCTGCATCTGCATGATTGGAATGTTGACTTTGGCGTCTTTTGTTCGTATAAATATTTGAACGCTGGTGCTGGTGGCATTGGTGGCATCTTTGTTCATTCGAATCAATTTGATAAAGATTACCCACGTTTTGATGGATGGTGGGGTAATCGATACGATACACGATTTGAGATGAGAACCGATATCGATCGAGATATCGGTGCTGATGGCTTTCGAATGAGTAATCCATCAATTCATCAATGTACCGCATTGACTGCAAGTCTAGAAGTAAACTGATTGTCTTGATTGTCACGAATACGATCGATTTGTTTGTTATAAATAGGCTTTCGAAGAGAGTGGTATAGAAAAGATCCGAGCGAAGTCGAAATTACTCACTCAATACATGCAATATCTGATTGAAACTGAAATTAATCGTACGAAACATTATTCTTTTTCCTTTGTTATATATCAAAGTCTACGTTTACTTTAGAACCATCAAGTAAATATCAAATCAAATTTCTAACTCCATCAGATCCCGAGCAAAGAGGTGCTCAACTCTCATTACATATCGTCGGTGCAGATGCCAAGCAGATATTCGATGAACTTGAGCGATGTGGTGTTTCCGTAAGACAAAAAAAACATTTATTTTTCGCACTAACGAATAACTCAAACGATTCTTCTCTCATATCATTCTAGCTGGATGTTCGTGGTGATGTCATTCGTGTAGCAGCTGTGCCGCTTTACAATTCATTTCTGGACGTCTATCGATTTGTGACGTTGTTGAAAAATATTCGAATCTGAATCTAAGCGTCTCGCAATCTGATTTGCTAATATCAAACAATACAACTTTCGTCTTTTTCTTCTTCCGTTGATATTTATTTGCTTGAATTAAAAGTCAAGCAACATATTCTTTTCACGTGACTCTTTCTCATTTGGCAATAAATCTTTGAAAACACATTCCGGGATCCATCCCCACGAATGATCATATCGATTTTTTTGTAGAATCATATGAAAAGATGTGCACGTTCTTTGCTTTGTTTCGTTTTGATGAGCACAAAACAGTTTAGTTTTAAAGTAAAAACAACAACGATATAACAATGATAAGGTTTATGTGAAAGAAGAAAGAGTGAGAGTTCAAAACAAAACATTCAACTAGAAAGAAGAAGAAGAAAGTATGTCACCAACTAGAAACTACAATATGTATAAACATACACATTTCATTTTGTCATCCGGAATAATTCGAAATGCTTGTTTTCTGTCTCTCTCGTTCCCCTCATTGCAAAAGGTTTTTAACTCAGGAAAAGAAGTATTTCCTAAGCTCTCTCACTCTCTCAACTCACATAACAAATCAACACACACACACACACACGACATAAATAGAAACAGTCAGTGTGAGAGAAGCGAAAGGAAATCAAACAGAACGAATGTGACAGTCAAAGATAGAGATGTAAGAAAAACGAGAAAACAAATGAAGAATTTCCTCTTAAAATAAAAGTGTACCCATTCCACCTAATTCATTCTGTTCTTTGACAAAGATTTCAAAGTATTGATAAATAATCGTCACAGCTAAGAGAATACCGGTACCAGAACCAATTGCACCGAGAAGATCGGCTAACACTGACAAAGCACCGATACATAAACCACCAAAGGCAGCAGCTGTGGGAATATATCGATTCAATTCGTGAATCATAGATTTTTCTCGGTGACCGTGCATAACCCTAGAAACAAAAAAAAAACAATTTACTTCGCTTCAAGTCCTTTATCTCCATTCGACCTACATTTGTTGTTCTTTTAATTGTTTAGCAACGTCTTTGGCACTTGAACCAGATATATCAATCCATGTCTTCGAGAAGAATGCACACGAGCCAAGCATAAACGCGATGTAGAGAATAGCATGTATAGGATCAGTTAACATCGCTTGAAACGATTCTGGTGGTGATAAATAATAGCATAAACCACCGATGGGATACGAACGTTGTGGTCCATTGTCGGCCCAAACGCCTAGTAAATTGATGATGGCATAGCCGGCGAATCTTGTTGATAACATTTGAGAAATGACGTATAAATTTGAAACGAGTGCAGATTGGAGAATAATCGGAATATTCGATGTGTAAAATAATTTGATAGGATAAGATGATGTTTGTCCACGATAACGAGCGGATTTGATTGGAAGATCAACACGAAAACCCTAAAGACATATATTTCTAAGAAAGTGATTCTCATTTGCGATTTACATACTTGGAAGTAGATGACAATAGCGAAGACAAGAACTGTTGCAAGTAAATTCATTAAATTTGGTAAATTTTGGCGATAGAATGCTTCGCGTAATGCTCGAACTTTATCATGTCGTGTTGCCAAAAGATGAAATAATGCAATAATACCACCTTCGAATTCCGTACCACGTCCGGTATTGATTGTTGCTGGACTGAATGCTTTCCAAACGATGGTTTCACAGATGTTCGTAGCAATAAATAATGAAATACCAGAACCCAAACCATAACCTTTTTGAAGCAATTCATCAAGTAATAAGACGATTAAACCAGCAACAAACAATTGAATGATGATTAAAAGGCAAACACCAGCACCGATATCTGATGGATTGCCATACATGCCAGTCATGACATAAACAATCGCTTGGCCAATGGTAATAATCATTCCAAAGAGTTTTTGCGCTCCATTGAATAGAGCACGATCTTTAGGTGTATCGCCGACTTCAATAATTTTTGCACCGGCTAATAGTTGCATGATTAAACCCGATGTGACGATCGGTGAAATACCTAATTCCATGAGAGTACCACGATTTGACGCAAGAATAACTCGAATCCTAAACGAACGAGCATTTGTCCATGATTTCTCATCTGACTTTGGAGATTCGACTTACCAGTAGAATGGATCGGCCGAGTCAGATGACATGATACCGAAAAGTGGGATTTGACAACATACCAAAAAGATAAATAAAGTGATTGCTGTCCAGAGAACTTTTTCTCGGAATTGAATTTTACGTTCAGGTTTTTGAATCTCCGGTATCAATTGGCAGAATGGTTTAACAAATTCAAGAAATTTAATACCCATTTTTCTATGATTGTAAAATCGACTCGAGTTGTTTGATGAAATCTTCGAAATGAAACGCAAATGACGGTGGGAAGTTGCTATTAATCGTCACCAATCGTTGCTTCTCTCTATCCCACGTACATGCACACGTACAAATAGATGCTTTCCACAGAATACCAACCGAAAACCAACGCAACGTTGCAATGCATCACCGTGCCATCAGCGGAAAACGCTATTGTCAATCAAAGAGGTCGCTCATCAACATAGACGTGAAAGTATAACATCTACTAATAGACAGATCTTATGTACACGAATCTATGAGAAAACATGATGGATAATTTGGGTCTTGCCTATGGGCTTACCTTTTCTTTTTCTACTAATTTGATTACGTACTTCTCCCATCAGTATATTGAAACTCATTGCATAATCTTATAGATGACAATATTGACGTCTAATTTGGCTTATTCTCACCTACATATATATGATATATACATTTGAATAGAAGGAAACATCATCACTGATCAACTTGATTAGTGTTCGCGATAAATTGCTTACCGAACAACAATCGCCTTCCTGCAGTGCATGACAAAAAAGAAACTAAGAACATGTATTTCTTCCATCTTTCTTTCTCTCTCTCTCTTTCTACTCTTTATATAAATAGACTCGATTGAAATTATTTTCCATTAAACTAAACAGTACGATCAGTTTTGTATAAAACAATATCTCGAAAAACATGAATCTCTCACCATTACAATTAGACACCAATTGTTTCAACGCCGCCTCGCACTATCATTCTTCTTATTATACCGAGAATCCATCAGTGTGGTCAGCATCGTCTTCTTTATTATGTCCATCAGTCATAACACAAATGACATATCCAGCAACATTTGCACCAGCTGCTCTTCAACCCATTGAAAACTATTGTACAATTGAACCATTTTATTCATCAGGCTCAGAGCCAATCGCTTCTTCATCCGACATGCCCTTTTATCCTTCGTCAGTTCCGCTTCCTCCTACTCCTTCATCTCATTTCCAACAATCAGATAATTTTATCGTTTCATCATCATCCTCATCAACACCATCAGCCATGATGTTAACACAAAATCGCGCTAATTACACGCGTCATCAACTAGTTATGCTCAATGAAATTTTCAAAAAACACAAATATCCGAATAGTTTGCAGAAAACATTAATTGCTCAATACATTGGCGTTTCGCGTGATCAAATTCGTATTTGGTTTCAAAATAAGCGGCGAAAAGTACAATTAATCACCAAAGGTCAAGCTAAACAAACGAAAACCGATGTGGAATGTGAATATGGCGAATATCGACGACATTTACCAAACAATTTTCTCGATGATCTCTTTCAAGAACTATACAAAGCACGTGCTGCACCAGCACGATTGCCAGTTAAACGTGATACAAATGCAAAGATTAGTAATATTGACCACGAACAACAATTCCTATATCATCCAGCAATGAATTCTAATTACTATTATCATTCAAATCAAATCATTGAACATGACAGTTCATCATCGGAGAAAAACGAACAACAATATTTAAATAATTATACTCATCCTGTCTATTCAGATCATTTGTAAAGTGTTTTTTTTCTTATAAATAAATAATTGCTAGCGAATACAAATCGGAATTTTGGAAAGAGACGATTTAGACTTTGACTTCTCCAATAACGTATTCATATGTATTCCATCGTGTGATATTGGAAAGGGAAAGTTTCTCATCATAATAGCAGTTTCAAATTTTCAGTTTCATTCTAGATCAATTTCCATTGGATTTATGAAAGAATGTTGGATTGGGCTGAATGCTCCTGATTGATTTCTGATGGAAATATTTCACACGAGGTACAATGACATATTCATATAGAATAAAAACCCGATTCTTCGTTTTCTATATGGATGATAGTTTGAATATGAATTTAACAACACAAATCAGTAAAAGCTCTCCCACGAAATCGAATACTCTTCATTTGAATACATTCGTACTGATTGATTGCACATAATAAACTTCTTTCTATCACATTTATTATACAGATCATTTGAACACACATGAATATATTTCATCTAAACATCTTGCTTTCATAAAATGAATTCACCTGTCTCTATTACTCCATGGAAATGTTNATGAGAAATCAGCTGATTCATCGCCTGATGGTGCAGATATGTTTATTAACAACCCAGGTCCACAAATCCGATGCTAGATCCGATCGGATTCCTGGAAACGGAATTGCATTGGAATCCGACTAGAAAAATCCCGTCGGTTGTTGCAAATTTTATGAGCGATCTTTTTAGCTATGTTCTATGATGACCCTTAGAAAATCCAGGAAATTCGTGTTTCGGATCCGACGGGATCCGAGTATGGGATTGTTCAACCTGGGAAAGGCACTTGAGGTCCTTGACCATGATGTTTGTCTGTCGTCGATCGTAACTACGTCTACGAGAAAAACGAATTGTTCTTTTTGTTTTTTTCGATGAATAAAATATCAAATACTTGACAGGATAAAGAAAATGACAATTCTTCAAAGTTGATGATTATTGAAACGAATAAGTTCGATAGTGTAAAGGTTAATATTACACATATGTACGTACATCCATGATAATGCAATGCATTTTATGCACACAAGAAAACAAACAATTAACAAATCTTTTTAAGTCGAGAAATAAATTGATGATAACCATCGCAAAATTTTTCTCTTCCAGTTTCTTCCTTCTTACTAGACGCATCAGAAAGAACATGGAGAATTCACTACCAATGGAATCTATTGCGGCGAAACCGGCACGACGAGGAACCAGCATCACACACTTGAATGTAATTCAACTCCCAAACGATGTATCTCTCAGGACCTTAGACCATGTTAATAGCTTCACGTCCATCGGTTTTGCTTCTGTACCTACCTAAAAGTTCTCTTTATAGCAAACACTTGCGTAGGTATGTTACAGGACAGCAACAAGTAGGACCCATCAAAATAACTAAAACAATGATTCTCATGTTCAACAAAGAATATAAGATTCGGAACAGTTTTTCAATCAGTCTTTTATATGTTCCGACATGGAGATTTCACTCTCCGTAGCAAGAAAAAATTAAAAACAGTGTTACATTTGACTGCAAATTTAAAGCAAAAGTGAAATCAGTAGAGCAATGCATGAAAACGAGGCTGCTTTCTTTGTCCTCCGTGTACCAAATGTGATAGGAGTGTCTTCCGAGTGTAGCTCACGACCGCTCGCTTGTGCATCAGTTATGAAATGAAATTTTCTAACGTTTCTTCAAGAATAGATAGAAATCCTTCCAGTCGATTCCATCATATTCTGTATTTCATCGAGACTAGCAGACAAAAGACTAAATGGAGTTACCTCACAGAAAGTTTTACTTTACTTGCTGTCTGATTCTTTGAGAAAAACACTGAAATCTTCTCCCAGTACATCGAACTTTCCCCAAAAGACAACTCGAATGTGTTTTCTCGCTAGTTGGCATTATTGTTATCTATCGATCATCATATGACATTCCGGATTTTTAATAGTTGTAGCCGACGCTTTAACTATAGTGACAGTTATTCAGCTTGTGGTGTTATGTATTGATATTCCTATATTCCATTCGACTTGTCCCAAATCCTCATCCACATAATCGTTTCCAGGCGTTCACTATCAATGTGTGTGTGTGTCTGTGGCCACACTGCCTTGTTCATCGTATTGACTTCTGTATTTTGTTATGACAAAAGTGAATGTGCATTAGTTTTATCAAGCTAGCACATGTTCTCCTGTGTACTATGCGGAAACTATGTTCACGCATCAAGTACCCGATCTGAAGTATCAACATTGCTGAACGTCCATGGAGATTCAGGTCTCGAAATATTCAATTACTTCGACACATGATTATCATGTTTCTTGTCTTTGTCATCGGTTGAACTCCCATCTGTACTTCTTCAATTGTCGTTTCTTTCATTTCAGTTGGTGTATCTATTATTGAGACGTTGTCTCTCCGGGCGGCAAAAAGTCTTCTTTGTGACCTGATCGACTTATTTCTATATCTGAAGGATTTAGTACGGTTCTTGAAAGCTGCAACTCAACCACATTGTCGTGCACAACTTAATTAGAAACTGTGGAACTAATATGCGTGATTAATACATTGTAATAAATGTCACTTTTATTGGTAAACATCACAGTCGATGTGCGAAAAAGATGCCGTGCCAAACCTATATAATATAGTGAGCTTATATCAATCTTTATAAACTTTTCCCTAAGCAGTGTACAGGTTACAGGAAATAAGCCTTTTACAAGATTAAATAGGATCATGCGAGCCTTTGTAGAACAGCTCTCTACGCCATACAAATAACAAATGACATCGACGTATATCAACATTTGAATCGATCGAGTTATACCACGGTTGACATCTTCACATGACCGGTCGATCGTATGTGTGTATATGTAGGTATCTACCTATTAGATCGTCGATAAGTTTGACTCATACTATTCATTCGTTCTTCTTAGTTTATACATACTATCGACAAAGATGACTCTACCCAGATATAGGATATAGCTGCTAAAGAAAAGACTATTATATTCGATTAAAAATGTCGATTTCTTCTATATCTCAAACTGCACGGCATTTCTATTTCAATTATCATTATCCAAAATCAACTTCCCCGTGGATTCACTCGACTTTTCTACGACGTGTTCAATATGCCACTCAAGTGGTCATTTGTTTTCTGTCTGCTAGCTTTCTCGCGTTCGAAACTCGAATATCAAGCCATCTTTCGCTGGAATATCTTGTTCCAATCATAAGTATTCTGTGCTTACAACAAACCTTTGGATCAACGTTATCGTGTTGTGTTCACAATACCATAGTACTGACACCTCTATCAGTATTGTTATTTGTTACGAGAAAATTTCATCTTTGCTATCAAAATTATGTTGCAACTGAACTTCTGTTACTACTTACATCATTTTTCATTACATACGGATGCACTCAAGTAAGTTGAACAAAAATCGTGTATCAAATGTACATCTTGGTTTTAGGTATCCACGAAACGAACTGTTCTTCTCTACAATGTCATCTATTTTGCTATGTGCTTTTCTCATGCGGATATGTCACTGATATTTTCTTTTCAATTGTTTGGAATTCATATGTCAGGAATGGTCATGGCGGTACTGGTTTCATTGATTATCTTTCCGCTGTTTGCTACTTTTGAAATTGAAAATCGCTTCCATTATTCGCTATTAAAACTCCAACAAATGCATACATTGATCATTCAAGCATTTCTTTGTCATGATAAAATGGTTGCTCAAATGTCACTTATTCGGGTATCAATCATAGAAAATATGGTACATAAAGCATTGATTCCCGTTCAAACAAGATTAGATGAAGCTCGTTTCGAACCGTCCAGATGGCTACAACGAATATTCAATCGGAAACATCGACATATCATTGATCTCACATTGCAAGGTTTGGCCCCTTTTGACATAAAACTGAACTAACATCAGTTGTTATTTTTCGGTAGAACAAGAAAACTTTATCAATTCATTAATGTGTCACATTAGCTCGTTAGAACTTATGGTTAAAAATTGTTCATTCAATGAGTATCATCATGATTTTGCAAAGGAACTTGAATCAAGTTTACTAGATCTTAGTGCTCGTCAATCGACTGTAATTACCAGTTTGATCGCTCCTTCATCAATATCAAAATATGAATTTTCTCAACAAATAAATAATCTTCAACAGGCATTTTCCAAACTGCGTTCGGCTTATATCGATGTTCGTCTACGTCGCATTGAACACGTATTACAATCTGCTAAAACAATACAATCTGAAGATAGTCTTTCTCACGCTTATTTTCTCTTTCATCTCGAAGTAATTATACGGATTCTGACCGAATTAGCCTTGAACAATGAAGATAAAGCTAAAAGTATACACTCATCCGGATACGAAAAAAAGAAGATGAATTTCAAACCAGAATGGTCTCGCATATTATCATCGATAAAATGTATTATTATTATCGGAGTCGGATCGCTCTTCGTATTGATCCCTACTTTATCAAAAGCATTCGAAAATGGACATTTGATATTAATTACTCTGTGTGTAACCCAAGGTGATACGGTTGGTGGAGCATTAACAACCATGAAGATGAGATTAATAGGAACATTGATCGGTATATAGCCTGATAATGTTGATTAGCAAACGTTTACTTTGATTTTCTAGGTGCGATCTGGTCTTACATTACATATTTACTAGTTCATACTAGGATATATCCAACTTTAGGGATATTATCTCCATGGATATTTATCTTCAGTTATTTAAAACTATTACCAAATTGGGGTTATACAGCTACTGTCGCTTCATTTACACCTGTAGCTATTAATTTAGCTCAATTAAGTCATCAGATTCCGTCATCCGAAAGTAATGCAGTTCTTCTCCGCATTGAAGAAAGTTTCATAGGAATTACTATTGCTGTTGTTCTAACTCTTCTGATTTTTCCTATCTTTGCCATTGATTTATTGAAAGATAATATTCAACGTAAGTCTCGTTTCACTCTTCCACTTACTGTAGATAATTTGATGATTGGTCTTCAGGGACACTGAAAACATGTGAAGAAAGTATAGCTTCCATGCATTCCGTTTATGATCAATTGTTTCACCATACGGAGTCACATGAATCGATGGTTCAACTGGAATTAGAAGAGAGAAAAGTTGAATCATTTATCAGTGCTCAACGAAGTGTGTTTCATCGTTTAATTAGTGCACAACGGACTCTTGTTGAACATGCATCACTTGAGCCAGCTTTATGGTGGATGAATCATGGATTTTCAAGCAAATATTACAATGAACTTGTTCGACAGCAAGTGAATACGTTTAATATGTTACATAATGTTGATGCAGCCGTAAGAAGTCTCACACAATGAAATAATCTGTAACATACACTTTATTTTAGTTAATGAAAATCAATGAGTACTCGGAAAATATTCACCATTTTCAAGTGAATGTTGCTGGCGGTCATTTCCTTCCGAATCTTCATCGAGAAATCTCCGGCCTGAGTAAACAATTAGGTGCTTGTTTTCATGCATGGATATACGATTTCGCTGCAACACAAACACGACTGCATCGGTTATTCCGTCAAAGCATTTATTCGAATGCGAAATTAGATGAAGTCGATCTTACGAAAGATCAGCAATGTTTAGTCGATCTATATCAAATAGTTCATCAGTTACAAGATCAACACCAGGAAAGACTCAATCAGCTATTACAACATTACCTTGATCGCTTAACAGATGGTGAAACTTACACTTCGATCATACCCTATGCTACTAATAACGAAGCTGATTCGGTTTTTATCGCTTATTACGCACTGTATTACTCGACCACGCAACTGGCTCATTCCATTTTAAAACTAGGCGAAACTATTCATACTATTTTGGAGTTGGAAACAACACATGTGTATCGACATTTCTAATTCTAAATAATTTTTGATCGAATTGTTGAAATTGAATGTGCGTGTGTATCTCAATGTCAGGAAAATATCCGAGACACCTATCTTTATTTTTTCAAATCGGGCTTTTTGAAACGAAAAGAAATTTTCTGATCAAAACGTTTACTGTAGGAAATCTCATTCAGCCATTTGCTATAATATTTTTGAAAACGATCATATGATGAACTTATTAAGCGATATTGCTCGTCATCGATATTGGCACGCTCCTAAGTAAATTAAGGATATTTAGAGTATTGAAAGAGAATCAATGTTGATTTCGACATACCATAGCGAGAATTTTCGTACGAACTTCCAGTAGAAACTTCTCCAATCGCTCCAAAAAGATTCTGTTCGCTTGTAAATTATATGCACGATATGTTTCGCAGATCAATGTAATGAACGGGAAGTTCGTTCGATAAAATGCATTTCCCAACATGGCTCCCAGAATTTTTTGATTTGGTTTAATATTCAAATCCTATACATTATTCAACATACATTGATGATCAATTTAGATGAACACTCTAGAAGTATTTTACCTTCATTTCACTCAGCAATTGCTCGGCTTCTTGTCTATTCCGACATCCTTTAGCCAATGCTGCGAATGTGTATTCATCCGGCGACAGACATCGTTCCCGCATGAGATCCAGCACTTGCTAAAAGAAAAGATATTTTATGGACAGTTTTCATCCTTTATCACTGTTGATATTACCAATGCTTCTTGTTTAGCACCACGACGTAATCGCCGAAGGATAAGTACATTGTAAAATTGAATGTTAGGTTTAACTTCACATAAATTGGAAACATGTATCAGTGCTTGTTCATGTTCTGTCAGTGGTGGAATGAGCTGGAATATTAGAATAACATAAGAAAAGTATTCAGAAATAGACGAGTTTTTCATTTACATTGAGAAGAGTATTGAAAATAATATTATTAGGAACAATATTGCATTCTTGCATATGTTTCAATATACCAGGAATACCACCCAAGAGCATTAAGCGTTCCGGAGGTGATTTAGGCATTCGAAAACCAACGAGATTTGGTTCTTCATAGGTCATGTTTGGTTTGAGAATACTTGCATTACTGAATGGACGTAGATGATTATGTAGTAAATGCCCTTTTTGTACATCTGCTGGATCTTGCCACCATTCGGAAGCTAATTCTGCCGATGAGAAAGTATTGTCATGCTCCATAACGGCAGATGAAGTTGAAGGTATCATCTCTCCGGTGTCATGATCATCAACGAATGAATCATCCGATTTTGGTGTAATTTGTGATGGATCATGATTATACAAATTGATCGAAGAGAGAAATGATGGTCCATGTCTAGTTTCTTCTTTTTTATTTTGAAGATCATTTTCAGGAAGAAGAAATTGTAGCGGTTGAGGTGGAAAGAGTAAGTCATGCATCGATTCCGATGAACCCAATCCACAATGGCATGCTATATTTAATAACAGGCCAAAATGGAACGGTGTCGGCCGGATATCAAATGCTAACATTCGTCGCCAAATCTATAACAGAACATTGTACACTTTTTTTTCGATAAAGAACTGTTCCATCTACTTCGATAGCATATTTAAAGCCAGCATTCTTCTCTGATTGACAGGCAATCAGTAGCGATGCATAAGTATCTTCATTTGGTACAAAACCCACTTCGGTCATCTCATCGGCTATTTGGAATGACATTTTCAATTGACCGTGTTTACCGAATGCAGCGATCAATGCATTGTATGTTCGATATTCAATACGAAATTCTATTATATTCAAATCAGTCAATCAGAAAGGCCCAAAGAAGGAAAGTCCTTGGTCAAACCTTTTGTTTTCATTTCGTCAACAAGATGAGTTGCGCGATCGATTGCCAGTGGACTATCGGATGCGCGATAACAAGCGTTAGCAAGTAATGTAAAGATCTTTGACATTTTTCGTGAATCAACAGTTGTAAAGCCTCGATCTTTCATCTACAAGAAGTACAAGACTACAAATATCTCAATTTGAAATAATTTACTTCACGATATAGATCAAATGCCTGTGTTAAATAACCATTTCTTGCACAGATACCGATGACAACTTGATAGCAAAATAGATTCGGAGCAACGCGTTCCTTGTCCATCATTTCATTATAGAAGTAGTCAAGAGTTTCTTGAACCTAGAGATAATCGTGCTTATCAATTTTTCAAAAGAAAACTTTCTAACCTTATTTTGTGCTGCCAACTGTTTCAGTTTTCCTGCATAATACCATACAGGATATTGTCGTCCATCAACAGCCAATGGCTTTGGTTCATCCGCCTCTTTCTCCTGTTCATCTTCATCTAAATCAACGTCAAAATTCAACTGGAAATTGTCTTGACGAACGATTCCTTCTGGTGTCACATATGTATCACTACATGAAAAGATCAACTGAGCAAATTCTAGCGATTAATTGAATGTGTTCTACCGTATGATTTTATCTTCTGGGATGTGCTCCTTCTTTTCTTCCTGTTTTACGAACGACGATAAAGGTGTATTGGGACGAATTTGTCGCTGTTCGAGTTCCTTTAGCCATTGTTTTTGTTTTCGTTTGTTCTTTTCTTTGAATCGAGCGGATTTCGAATCGGCGAAGATATAATCCTTGGCTGTCGTGAATTGTTTTGCGCTCTCATCATCGTCATCATCGTCTTCAATAGCCGGCAAATTTCGTACAGGAATTTTCTGAGTTGAATTCAATCGAATAATAATCGATGATGGAAACAATCGAGCTTTTTGTAATAAACGAAACATCATTATACTAAATGAATTTCAAAATCGAACATTTTGCTAATTTGATTGGCTTGATTTGTACCAGTTGTATGTGAAGAGAGCACAGAAGGAGACCAATAGGAGCGGAGAATGAAGATAGCCATTCTTTTTCTTCTCTTTTCTGCCCATCGGTCAACTATCAGCAGCAAGAGTTGACTTCTCTATGTGAGAGAAGTTTCTGTTGTTTTTTTTTGTTTGTATCTATCTAGTTTTCGAATGAAATGCCGTTCAACAAAAGGACCGTTGAACCGATATATCTAAGTCAGGTACAAATTCCAAAAGATATTCAGAATGAACTCGAATGTGTTGCTAACCATACATGTGCCAATGTTATTCGACAATTAAGCTCGTTAAGTGCTCATGCACAAGATCTTTTTGAAGAGTTAATCAATGATGCTGGACATATATTTCAACGTGCAGAAGCACTGCATGGTCGAATTGAACGGCTTAAACAGCAAGTGACACAACTGGACTCCAATGTTGAAGAAGGTATATCGGTGTTGTTTAGTGTTTTCTTCATTTGATTCTGATTGCTGTTTATTCTAGTGACTATTCAAGATGTGAACAATCGAAAACCATTTGTTAGTGTCACTCGTATCGACCAACAAGTAGTAAACCGAGCAACGATGCCGCAATCACTTCGATCGCTTTATGAACAAGCTGAACCAGCACCAGCTCTGCATCTATTGAATCCATATCGGTTTGTTTTGTTTTTAATGTTATGTATTATCTTTTGCATAGAAAATTTTTGTCTATATAGTGATGATGGTCGCGATTCCACGAAATTTTATACAGATCCATCATTCTTTTTCAATCTATGGATGCAATCGATGATACAACTTCCGCAAAACAACCATCATCATCGATCTGGTAAACATGAACGAAATCGATCACCGGTAAAGTTATTTTCAATAGTATATGATGTTCACATAGATTAATCTGCTTTTTTCCTCTATAGAAAGGACATCAACAAGAATCAATTTATGCAACAAATCCCACATCATCGTCCCAAGCTCGTCTAATTCGGCAAACATCTGAAGAGCAACAATATCGAAGTCCGCAAGAACTAGTTCGTCATCGAACTGAATTTGATCAAAATGGTCGCGGAACTATTCGATCACACATCCATCAACAGCAAATCTATTCACCGCCAAACCCTCCTCGCCAACTCATGCAATATCCAAATAACAATCACCTAAATTATCATCCTGACTCAGCTCAATATGGCAGTCCGACTCTATCAAACTCATCATCCATACGTGAACAACCATCTATGACAATGAATTTTAATACTAGTACTCCAGAATCTACGTCCCACATGCCAAATGGATACAATACCGAACCATCACCTCGACTTAACGCACATTCATCGACTATGAATTGGCAAAATCCAATGCCACCACCTCCACCACCACCATTACTATCACAATTCGAGCCATCCAATCATATTTCACATCATTCGATGATGAGACAGGCAATTACCAGACCATCTACTAGCCCACCACCCCCTCCCCCGCCGCCACCAATTCCACCACCCGCACCTCCTCTATCGGTATGAATTTGATTTTCTTTCGTGAAAGTAACCGTTAGATTATCATCACTCTTCTCTCTCTCTCTTTCTCTAGAACATGGGCATGGTCACACTTGCAACGATTTCTGAGATCGATAGTTTACCTCCACCGCCTGCTGATTTTATCGAACAATCGCCCTCGCCACCGCCCACACTCCCACCTCCGCCTGCACCTCCATTGCCATCGAGTATACCACCAGCACCGCCTCTTCCAAATTCCGCAATACAATCACTTGTGATGCGCCCTTCAACGACAGATACGTCAGTTAAACTCAACAATGGCTCAAATAATCATCAAAACCATTCGTCATTGCATCGAGACGATGTATCCATGACATCAGAAACCTCGATTCAGGATCAACGTCCTTATATCATGCGTGATCTTCATTCGGATCTTTTGGATGAAATCAAAAAAGGTAATTCAATCTCTGGGCATTTTCAGGAAACACGAATTCAATGCTTGATCTAGGTATCCAATTAAACAATCGTAAGAAAGAAGAGGAGAAGAAAGCAGCTGTGACAACGAAAACAACTTCCTTGAACGTTATGGCTATCATGGAACAAGCTGCAAAATATCGCCGTGATAAAATACGTCCTCAATCAGAATCTGAAAATGATGATGAATCATCTCGTTGGGATGATAGTGAATGAATGTTAATTTGAATCTCACTGTTTATATTTCTTTGTGTAATATTTCTACATATACATTCTTCTTCTTTTCACGTGTGCCTTCTTGTTCTTTAATACTGGATATTGACAATGTGCAATCAGTTTTCGTTTCGAGATGAATAATAATAATAATCAGTTTGATATATACGATGAACTTATGTCCAACGATTGGAATCACAGTCAAGCTGAGAGTGAAGATGGTCTCGTTCGATACGATCAACCGCCGAGCTACGAAACATTCATTCGGGAATGTTTTCTAAAGGATCGACCAGCGCTTTTCACGGCAAAATGTGGTCTTATGAACGACTGGTCATGTCTTGCCGAATGGTTAACTGAAGACCGAACAAAACCGAATTTCGATCGTCTCGTACAACTGTATGGATGCATGATCGTACCCGTAACAAAATGTGCATCGAATATAACCGAATACGGTTCCGATGAAAATAAATCAACAATGCGTTTCGATGAATTTGTACAACTTTGGCGTGATACGGCTACCGCTGCAGAATACTACTGTAAAGACTGGCATTTACAGAAAATGTCCGATGAAACAAAACCATTATTTTACTCGATTCCCGTTTATTTTCAATCCGATTGGCTGAATGAAAAATGTTTAGCAAATAACGAAGATGATTTTCGTTTCGTTTACATGGGTGGTGATGGCACAAATACACCTTTACACATGGATGTTCTTGGAACATATTCCTGGTCAGCAAATATCTGTGGGCAAAAACGATGGCGATTCAGTAAACCTTATTCCATCGAATTTATTCAAGAACCTGGTGAGATTCTATTCGTACCATCTGAATGGTATCACGACGTCACGAATATCGGTCATACAATATCAATTAATCACAATTGGTTCAATGCTTTTAACATATTTCGTATCTGGAAACATTTGTGCTCTACGCTGGGTGACATCGAACAACGAATTGAAGATTGTCGTGCAATCATGAGTGATACATGGTATGAACATTGTCAGTTGATACTTCAGACTAATGAAGGTATGAATTTTATTTCGCTTTATAAACTTTTACACACAATTGCTCAAAAACGATTAGAAGAAGATCAGAGATCAAAACATGCAAAATTTGATCTCTGGATAATTGAACGTTTAATACGAACAATGCTACAGAGTACTCAATTTTTATCTTCATGCGATTTTGATACATTGCCTCAACGACCAAAAAAATTAATTCAACAGATTCATTTGTGTATTGAAAAACAAAACCAGTAAAACATGTGTATGGACGGAGAAAAAAAGACGACTAATTGTTCATTTTTTTGCCTATTCGAAAAATGACGGTCCTTCGTAGAAATTCGATAAAATAATAACATGTCGCTTAATTGGATCAATGATCATATAAGCAAAATCTTGTTCGAAAGCTGTACGTGATGGATAGAACTTTTTTCCCTTGTCATTCTGAAATTAGGAAAAAAAAGAAATTTGTTGATCTATGTATGACAGGAAAGTATTTACTAATGCTTCGATTTTAAACACAGGTGACACAACGTGAATTGTTTGAGTTTCAGCATCCTTCTGAACACTAATGAGATCTTTGTAAACAGATTTCGTGACATCGAGATAAGGTTGAACTTCATCTTCGTATTCTAAAGTGCAAAGCGTACGATTACATCGGATTTCATTCGTTTTACTTACGACAAACTTGCCCGCCAAGACAAAAATGTTTGAATAAACTACAATTAAAAGAACAACAACACGTATTTGATAGATAGTTTTTATATATTCGTACTGAAATATGAATTCTTTACGATCATTATCAGAAAATATATCATATGTTTCAAATTCATCCATAACCAAAGCCTAAAAGCAGAAGATCGAGGAGTGAATACAATAAGAAATTCCGGTTTTATTCTAACTTTTCGAAGTTCATCATCAACAATAAACTCATCTTTATATTCTTCAATACATTTCTTGATATGTCCACTCTGTTGACGTACGATTTGATTATTAAATAATCGATCGAAGAACTCCAAAGAGAGGACGTTCGTTTGTAATTGTTCAATTCGAACATCATGAACTGCTTGATTGAGTATTTGCCATTCACCTGCTTTGCTAAACATTTTTAGTGTACTGAGAACATTTGGATCTTGGAAGAAATCCTAAAAATAGTTTTCAAACAATATAACTAAAATATCAAATGAAATATAATTTACCAAGATGAATTTTCGAATGTTGTATTCTTGGAATGGTTGGTCAAATATGTACATGTTCGCTCGAATTTTGCCACGCATGCCCCTGCAAAATTTCATATTGATTATATCAAATTGAACGAAAAGTTCTACCTCACCATTTTATCAAAAGATCTCGATTCTGTTTCCCATCGATGCTTTCGAATTTCTTGTCTATTGGCTGAAACCGATATTCCCCAATAGACAAAGAAATGACATTCTCGTTCTCACTCATCAGAATCTAAAACATGATCAGAAGAAATTGAACAACAAAATATCACAAATGAATTTCCAACGAAAAGCGAGATTGACAGGAAACGAAACAAATCTAGACTTTATTGATCAATTCGAAGCAAAACATTAACTATTGACTTCGACGTAAATAGCTTGTTGCTGAGTGTCACTACTCATGTGACTGTTGGATTCATCTTTACTGATAACAGGTTCGTTAGGTGTGAACGCGACGCCATTCAGTTGACATGGTCCAGCAAAGATATCAGGTCCATCTTCAAGGCCGAGAACATATCTTGGATGTATTGCAAGTGCGCGTAGTAATGTCTGACTTGTTGAACACAAGCGATCTTGTTCTTCTAGCGTCATGATTGGCTGAGATCGAGAATTAGCGTGTGAATCATTAAACGGATCATATAAGCCACTAGAGCCAGGTAAAAATAGTCCACTTGATAGTAGCTGCAATGCTCGTCTGAAAAGGAATTAATAAGATTGTGAAAACACTGTCAATACGAAATACTTTAACGCATAACTTGGTGGTAATTGTTCATGAGAATTATTATTATTTGTTACACAATGATGTGCAAGTAAGTTAATTAGCCAGGTATTAAGCGGTTCAAGACCGTTGAATCGTTGTCGTAAATCTTTTAATAAACGTACAAGAAGTTTAATTGACGGGTGACTACAAGTTTCATCAACCCATTTTGCATGTTTTATTGCGTTCAGATTACGTTTGCATATTTGTCGACTCAAATGGATAGATGGGTCAAGAGAATTCAAGTTCATTGGTATAGTTGTCACTAGGATATGTACTGCCATTTGTCCATTTTCAATCGAAAGACCATAATCTGTGTTGCATATCGAGAGTACTATACACAAAGAATAGTAATCCCAGTCATTGTGCTTGTACGGTAATGAAAAGTTACCTTCTGCTTCGTTTGGTTGATTTTCACTGAGAAGATCTTGTTTTATGCGATTACCTAATTGATCTATTGCTTCTCCTGGTTGAAAAAAAGAATAAAATGACTTGAATTTTACTCAGCGAAAATATACTTGTGGGTAATGTTTTCAAAACAACAACTAAATCATATGATAGAGGAGTTTGTGAGCCGACAGGTGGCTTGATAATTGTGTTATGCTTGTATGAACCAACTTCACGAACTTCACTTACTTGCTAGAGAAAAAAAGGAAGTGAACAATGATATAGTTGAAAATTGATTTACAAATGAACATACGCAAGCAGTGAATGAACTTGGTGCAAGAACCAGTGTATCAATCTTTTGTCGAATACGTGATGCGAAATTCATCAATGTAAACAAATCAGCAGGTGCTGGGGTGACTTGTTGATTTCGTTCCATAATAATCTAAATGAAAGTCGACACGTAATTTCCAACGATCAATCAAGGGGCATACTGGTGTCAATGTTGGATCTTCGATGGCTTGTTTTATAGAAGGAAATGCCTCGGGTAACTAAGAAAAATCGAATCGATTAGCTAGAAATGCGAATTGAATGGCAAAACATACGTTGACAAAGTCAAAAACATCATGTAATTGCCCTTGTTGAAATTGCTGTTGTGAATGAGAGGCAGATGAAGAACTGAAATAAAGAATAAATTCAGTTTTGAAATGAACGAACTGTTGATTTACCGATATGATTGTTGATATGGAGGTCGATTCTGTCGCCAAGGCGGAAAACGCGGTCGACTACGACGCATTTTGATTACTTTTTCAGATGATTAGTAAGCTTTATTTGATTCTTGTATCTATTTGTGTGTATACTCAATTTTTCTTCGTTCTACAGCGAGCGAACCATACGTTGATAGAATAAAATCGTCATGATGGTTACCGAAAGATGTCGTTTAAAACCCATGTATTGAAATATTTTAAATATACCTCCGCGTGCTTGTGTCTTGCCTTACAACAACATTGTGTATATTTATTTAGATAGTTTTATGCGATCTTTAACCCATTTATGACTATAAAGAATATTTTTATTGTTTTAATCACTCTTGAAGGACAAAGTTCATGTGCGTATCGGTCATTTATTTTAGATTAGTACTAAGATGGCACCAGCACCAGCCTATGTGAAGATATTATTAGCAGTTGGACAAATTGTTCTTGCATTGTTTTATGGAACTTTAGGAACCGTCTTTACTTTGCTTCATCTTGTTCGAAGTGGCCGCGAGAAATTCTTCCGAAGAGTTGAACGACCAAAACCACCTCAAGTCGCACTCGATCCAATTTATGGGGAACATAAAATGTTGAAATTAAAAGTGAGCCATTCTATTCTTCTTCGAACTATCCAATACATGTACATATGGAGATCATTCTAGTCGTCGAATGTGACACTTCATTATGTTTCGAAAGGTACATCTGACCAGCCATTAATGTTATTCGTTCATGGTTTCCCTGAATGTTGGTATGCATGGCGATATCAAATGAAATATTTCTCAAAAAATTATCGGTTTGATGTCATGACGTTCAGGCTTTCCATCATTACTTTTTTTTTTTGTTTTTGAAAGAGTTGTTGCTATTGATCAACGTGGATACGGTCTTAGTTCGAAACCCTCAAGTATTGGAGACTATAAAGTGGAATTATTAGCTCGCGATGTCGCTGATGTCGTTGAACAACTTGGTTAGATTGAGAAATAATTATCCTCTTGAAAAAATTCTAGTTTCAGGTTACCAATCATGTGTTTTGGTTGGTCATGATTGGGGTGCGATCGTTTCATGGACAGTTGCCATGCTGTACGTTTATATATTCTTGAGTTTGTTTTTCTATTTTATCTGTTATGTACCAGTTATCCGGCTGTGGTTGACAAATTGATCATATTGAATGTGCCGCATCCAGCTGCTTATCAAGCAAATCTATCATTTGCACAGCTTCGTAAATCATGGTTTGCACAATGGTCGATCAATCGATAGTTTTGTGACAACATATACTTCATTTTAGGTACATTTTTTTCTATCAAACACCATTCATTCCTGAATTATTCTTTCAAGCAAACGATATGAACATTTTCAATGGAGTATTTTACACAAAACCAATGGGTTTAATCAATAAAGGCAATATCAATTCTGAAGATCTGGAAGTATTCAAATATACATTCGCTCAAAAAGGTTCATTATTACATTCGGCCATTTTTACTCACTATGTGTTTTGCATATAGGAACACCTCGGGCAGCAATCAATTATTATCGTGCTTTATTTCGAAATCAAAAAGCTGAATTATCGAAACCAGTTACTATGCCGGTACTAATCATATGGGGTTGTGAAGATGGAGCACTCGGTGAAGAACTTGCTGATGGTAGTGTCAAGTATTGTTCAGATGTTCAATTGAAGAAAATTCGAAATGCATCGCACTGGGTACAACAAGACGAACCCGATGAAGTTAATCGATATATGGAAGCCTTTCTTAATGAGAAGTCAACATCAAAATAAACAAAAAATTGATTACGAGAACCTTTTTTCATTTTATTTTCTTCCGTTTTTTTTATTATTGTGTGTTTTTCTATTCTAAGAGAGATTAGAATTTGAAATGATGATTGATAACTAAGCTGAGTGAATAAAACTATCTTATCCATTACTTTTCGAAAATTATATTCAACTTCTAACACAAAAAATATCCGGTGTAAGAGAATGCGGACTATACATATAATAGTACTGAAGATCGCTTCAAATATAGTGATTGAAAGAAGTCAAGATTTGATAACCAAACGGACCACGTTTGGGTAAGGTACTATTATAATTTGGTTAACTAATTAAGCAACTTGATGATTCAACAAATGAAGAGTATATTTGAATTGGATACTTCTTTATTCCAACAAAATAATTTCAATTTATACATATTTTTTCTACTCGATGCAAACATCGTGAAGAGCACCCTGACCAACGCTGCAATCGTGAACACCAGCACCAACACCTTTGTTCGATGCCTGATATTTAAGACGATATTTTTTTCAATTTGATATCTTGAGGGTAAATCAGTTTTCTGCTTATTCACTTTTTTGTGCATTATTTTGTTTCTAAACTGAGGTCCACTTGCGGTTCATCTTCATCTGACAGTTGGTTGTTTGTCTACTGAGATGAATGTGTGTTTTCGTATCGCTGGCCAATAGTTATGACGAACAAAACAGCAAGCGATTCATAAGAAAAAAAAATACTCCGATTGAAATTGTGGCGTTTAGTAAACCTAGATGCTTCTAATCGTTTAAGTTGAAGTTGTACTGCTTCTTTAATAACTATACAAGTTCGTTCATAATTGTTTTCTACATCTCCTTGATAATCATGCGGCCATAACCTGAAGCTACCTGAAGCTATATTACATATCGAAATCGATTGAACAAAACTGAGCTTTTTATTCGTAACCATGGCTGTTGGTAATTTGCTATCCTACATGCGGGAGAAAATCGTTTCCATCAGTGCTAACCAACTATTTCCCGCGTACTGTTTGGAATGTCACGTCACACCACTAGATGCCGCTGCCGAAGAGACAATATATAATGGTACATTGTATATCCAAAGTGACAGTAGTGTTTAACGTGAAATTTGTATTCAACTATGTTTGCATTGATCAAGAGATAAAACCTTCAGGCGATTCGGACGGAAAATACTACTCTCAAGTCGTACAGGTTTCATTTGTTTGACGTCAGAGTGATACTCTACCACTGATTCGAATATGATGAAAGTATAAATTAACAGAATTTCTATTGTTCACAATGATCAACGAAAGAAAACAATTTGTTTTCATCACCAAGTTGAGTATACAATAACTGTAATGAGATATTCTACCGTTTTCTGTTGTTTATAAAAGTGTGTATCATTATGTTAACGATACTTATCTTCTCAAGTTCGTTACAGAAAGTGACTCTGGTATTAGATCAGTCAAATTACTTAAACTATCTTGATGGTGCAGCTGGTAGACAAGACAACACACTCGCCGTTATCATTACGCTATTAGCATTATTATTAGTACAATCTATCTCATTGTAAAGTTGGTAAACATCAACATCGTATTAGCGAGAAATCAAGTGATAACACATGACCTTCCGGTAGGCGCTAACTAAATTGTATTCTGAAAACCCCCACACATACACGATAATCATCTACGACGACACGTATCACCATGATGACTTACCGAATGATATTTATATCATTAGTGCTATGCGCTTTGTTTGGTACGCCGATTATCTCAATTTTTGAACTTTAACTTGATTGCTTTTTCATATTCAGACATATATCAACCACGTAAATATAGTTACAAACTTGTACCTATGGGCACACTTAGAGATCATCCAATAGTGAAGAAGTACCTATTGAAACCGTCGAAAACGAAATCAAACTGTAAGTGAAACATTCGCTTGTTATTTCGTATATATAATTCTCTTTCTATCAATGAAAGCTGCATTGTGTAAATTACCGGAAAACGTGGGTTTATGTCGACAATCCAAACTACGGTTTTACTACAATTCAATAGCCCGTAAATGTCAACCTTTCATATACACTGGTTGCCGTGGGAATAAAAATAATTTTCGATCCATTGCTGCTTGTGAAAAAACATGTAAAATGTGAGAAATTGCATTTCTCTAGGTATAGAGATTACTGAAGAGCATATTGATGAATAATAAATTTACTGTATGAATAACCTCGCAATGCGTTTTTAATATCATCAGTAATTGTGATATAAGTATAGAGTAATTGAAAAGAAAGTACTTTGTCGGCCATTTATTACTTATACTATACCTCTAAAATTGTTACTGAATGATTCATATTTATGTGTTTCTATATTGATACAACAGAATCAGAAATGTCGTTTGTACTATAACCATAATTCAAATATTTTCGATTTCATATTAACTTCGACAAAAAGAAACATTTTTCTTCCTCTGATTCATAGACCCATATAAATACTCGTCTCCTAATCGTACTCTCCTTGCAGAATTATTCATATCATTCTGCAGCACAGTAATGGTATTCGGCAAAGAACACGCAGGCGAATGGTTGGCTAAGACTCCTATTGCATTTATTGGCACTATCTCTGATGTTGTTCGAGACTCATCCACTCGTTCAATACCGCCAATAGATTCTTATAAACTACGATTTCAAAATGTTCGAACATTGCGCGGATCTATTGTAGGGACAGAGTTCGATTATCAACAGCGTGGTCGTACAGGAAGTTGCCTACTACGAATTATTCAAAATGTTGATGGATTAGACGCAATAGGAGGCGAAGAAGAAGTTCGAGAACCACTGTCTGGTTCAACTTATCTTGCATGTACTAATGATGGAGCTCAAGTGAAAGCACTCGTTGAACTAGATAACAATACTATTGAATACTTACTTCAGGCATCTAAATTACCATTGGGATGGTATAGAAATTCAAGTGGACAATTAGAGAGTCCGTGGCAATATTCTCATGCAAAACATGTTAAATGGTACAATAATGAACGCTTTGCTACTTTTGAAAAATGCTCGAAATCTGGTCGACCACTACTCACCACCACAGATGATATTTCATTTTCATGCGAGCCAGTCAAATCTACTCATACAAAACAATATCAAAATCCTGATGGTGATGGTACGTAAAAGAAACATTTGTCTCATCTTTCGCTAATATTTTCCTCGATTTATTTCAAGGTGTATTTAAATTAACCGTAACCAACAATAGTAACCAACCTGTAGAAGTTTCTGCACTATTACGTGACAGTCGCTCGAAAAAAATCCTTTGGGAAGAAAGTATCTTTGTCATTACCGATTCCGGGAATCATTTTTTTCCAGCACACGGGCACGCCAACGATGTCGAACCTACTGTTCTTCAGCCACACGAAACGATTTCAGCTAATTTAGATACTTTGACTTTACATGGGATATCGTGGCCTCAAGGTGGCTGGCGTTTGAGATTGAAATTTTGTTTGGGAAACAAGGCTTCCGAAGGAAACTATTACTATTTTACTGATCATCATGAACCAATTCGGAAGAAAGCAGAGAAAAAGAAGACTGCTATTGTTGATTAAATGACACTTCTTTTTTATTCATTAGAATTTCTAGGCACTTACAGAGAATGCAATGTATAAAGCCATTTATTTGATCAATAAACAAAACTTGATATTCATGCATTTCAACTAAGCGATGTCTAAGACCGAAAATAAAAGCTCACGCGTTGATTAGTTAAGAGTAATATATTTAATTGACAAAAATCACACATATACTGTTAGAAGACATATTTAATAGTGAAATAAAGCGTGAAACGTACATGTTGACTAGAGAAGTATTCACAGTTCAGCTCGTGATAGAGTTTCTTGCGTTAGACGTAAACGAGAGAAGACGATTCCACCTGTGGGAATATTAGCATTTGATGGATTTGGTTCGATATTTTGTCCCATAACTGCTGCATGAAAGTGTTTATTTTCGTCAGTTGATGTTGGATGACGACGACGACGATCTGTATCGAGGAAAACTGTTAATTGTACAGATGTGGGTGTAGATGGTAAGGGTTCTGTTGATGACGAGTAATTTTCAAGATAAAGTGAAGAAATTTCAATATGAACTGTGGAGATCGAATCTTTGATTCGAAATGCATATGCATAACTTGGAAAAACTAGGTTCTCATCGACTTGAGATGAACCTTGAGAATTTTCATAGGCAACTTCAATTGAACCTGTGCGAGAAATAGTAATCGTCATTCCTGCTTTCGACGTATGTTCAGTTTCTGCTAAATAACACAGAACAGCCTGCGATTGTGACGATGCATCAGAAAGAAATTCAATAATGCCTGACCAAGTACAAGCTAGTGTTGAATCAAACGTTTGTTTCGTTCGTAAGAACACATTTGATTTTAATAAAACAGCACTAAAATCTGCTACTAAGACATTATCTTCTTGTCCGACAGTTGTATGCCAATTATCTTTCATTGAAGGAAAATTTTCTTCTTCATCTTCCTGTTCATTTCGTTTGGAAAAATTCTCGTTGATTAATTGATCAAACGGCGGTGGTAAGTCATAGTAGATCAACGAACGATTAAAATGTTCTCGGAATTTGCATAAATTATGAATATTTTCACTTGTATTTTCCACTTCATTAGCTGGCGACCAAAACGTCAAACCGGATTTCGTCACTGTTGCCAGCCAATGAAGTTGATCGAATGAATTTAATGCTAACGACAGACGAACAGGAAACGTAATTTCAAAATTAAACAGAGAATAGTTATCATCTTTAGTTATCGTTCGATACATATTGATAACACTTGACCATGTGTAAGATGTTGTTGTTTTATCGTAAATGGTTGTCCATCCAAGAGAAAATGAGACCATTAGAATTGGAATAACACGAAAGGAAAACGAGAGACACGCATTGAGAAAACGTTGGGCATCGATGGGTTGAACACATTGAGAATTGGCACGAACGATATCAGCATTGAGAATGATGGGACCGTTGATCTACAAAAAATACTTTCTAATGCAAAGAAGAGAAGAAAATTTTGAACGCACTGAATCTTTGTTTGCTTCGAGTTCATCGAGACATGGTTGTAATGCATTGATATCTTTGAAGTCGAGTTTTAGACCTTTACTGGTTGATTTGACTGCTTGAAGAAAGTCTGAAAAGGTTAAATCACTTGTGGTATGTGGTGGATGTGCCATGATTGGACCTATTGGTGACGAACCCATTAGAATATCTGCTTCGATAAATAATAATGAACCTACAAAAAGAAATTCTTGTTTATCCAATCCTTATTTTTTATTTACTTTTGAGTGCTTCTTCAAGCTTCTCTCGACTATTAACCGCATGTGCCCATGTAATACGCGATGCATCATTTTCCACACTTGGAAAATAATGTAGCGTATGCTGAAAATGTCGTATGTCACTCATTCGTCTCGTTTCTATCTAGAAATTGAAAAAGACCCATAGATTTCCTATTTATTATTTATAAATATATCTGATCGCTGAATTTCAACAGTGAAACAAACAAAAGTCATTCTGTTGACTTGGAATTGTTAGTTGAGTGCTCCAACTCCGACGATGGAGTGTTATCCACATAGGTACTTTGTACACACGAACGATAATATTCTTTGCTCGGTATTAACTCATGGAAAAGATTCTGCGTGGAAATAATATCGGGAAGAATCTGTTCGGTATGCTGAAAAAAGAAATCGAAATAAGTATTTGAGTTTAACGAAAAATCTAGTTACATCATTGATCGACTGAATTTCTTCGAGTTTATGACGAGATTTTGCGTGCAGAATGGTTTCAATTTGTTCAATTCGTTTTTTCCATTGCTCATTTTTCAGAATAGGACACCAAGCTCGATGAGATGCAATTGGATCCAATATTAGATGATTCCGATTAATTGAAATTTCTCGGCAACATTTTTCACAACTTAATGAAGAACCTTTCAGTTTCCAATAGAAAACAAGGATTTTAAAAGCTGATAGTAAACGTGGATCGTTCAAATATGAACTTGATAAGAGGTCAAAATCTGTTGCTTCAATTTGAAAATTCTAAACAAGGAGAATATTTCTTGCTGAATGTTGGTTTTTGAATAAAAAAAAGTACAAACTGTTTTTAGTTGTCCAACCAGATCAATCTGTTGAAATTGCAGTAAAAATTCTTCTGCTTCTTTTACAAACTTATTTATTGTTTCATTGGAATAAATATCAGTGAGTTGTATCACTGATTCTGGAATAATCATAAATTTCCAAACACAGTACCGATGATGAGCATCGACTAACGATCGAGCGATATTCTCGACACGTTCCGTATCTAAAACCAACTATCAAAACTCTTTTCTCTTTCTACAAATATCTTACATTCGTGAATATTTAAAACACTTGGCAATTGTGCAATGATTTCTGCATGGCAATTCGCGCATTTAATTAAATCATTGTTTTGACATGTCCATCCGCGACGTGCACATTCAATTGCTGAGATACGATCAGGTTTGCCAAACCAAAGATAATCCTTATATACAAAAACAAATAGATAAATATAAGACGAAAGATAGATCTACTTCGTAAGTTTTCAAACGATCTCGATATTCATCCAATGTTTTATGATTAATTGTTTGTAGTTGTGAAAGATGAAGAAGATGGGACGAAAATTTCGAATCTTTTAACATCATATGCTATTCTTATCTATTAGAAAGTAAAAAAAAGAATAGAGACAAAGCGAAAAGAAGAATGTAGATCAATGTTTAAATGTGATTTCTATCGATAAAAGACAAAAATAAATTACGGATACAACACGAATGCAAACATATTTCAAGACCGACTAGGAAAAATAAAGAATAAATCACATGATAATCAAGACAAGCAAAGTAACAGAACAGAAAAACACGCACTATTAAGCTTTGCGATATTCAAGTCGTTCAACAGTAAATTTCTCATTGATTAATTGATAAACATAGAGTGTAAGTGATGCTTGTTGAATATCCATTAAAACAAACGAAGGTGTAGTTGAACTAAAAGAAAATATTCATTGATAATCATGAAAGAACAATGAAAGTTTCAAACAAACCTATTCAATGCATTATATGCTCCAGTTGCTGAACCAGGATTGATGAAAAATTTGTTGTCACGTTCGAACGCTTCGAATTTATGTGTATGACCAGTTATGAGAATGTCAACATCCATTTGACGTTGAAGCATACGCAAACTTTCAATGTCTCCTAAAGGACAAACAGACAAATTTAAAAATGTCGGAGTTAACTGATTCAATGATTACCCCATGGAACGATTTGATGCCCGTGGCAAAGACCAATACGAAATTGACCAACAGTGACAACCTTTTGATCGACAAAATTCGGATTCTAAATAATAAATAATGAATTTTATACGCCATATCTACAAAGAAATACTGACATCATCAAAATCTCCACGAACAATATGAACATCAGCTGTTAATGTTTTCAAATAATCAACTGTTTCTTTCGTACATAAATTGCCGGTACACAAGATGTGTTGAATACGACCAGGAGTTAATAATTTGCGGAATTCATGTGGCAAACCACTAACACGATAAGGAATGTGTAGATCACCTAAGACAAGTACAAGCTAAACAACGAGAAATGTTCACATGCACATATAAATGAAAGAAATTTTGCACGGACCATTATTGGATAATGATGAAGCTGCTAACGATATTATATCGGAGGTGTAATTAGATTTCACACTTATCCTAAAACTAGACAGAGTGCCGGTTGTTTATCTTGACTCAAAGAAGTGAAAAATTTCTCTCGCAGCAAATTGTTAGATGAGATGAGTCATTCTATCTCTTCTCTTTCTTTGCAAAAGCAACACCAACCAAATATATATCAACTATGAAAATAGATGTCAGTCATTGGAGACCAGTGTTTTCGATAAGGAGAAAGTCATTTCATGCAAATGTCGATTTAAAAAAAAAGATGTGACAACAACTTCTCAAAAATTTGAATATGGAAATGTAAAAATCACAACAAAAGTATTGAAATGTTTTTCGATATTTCAACTCGTACTGTTATATTGATAAAGATAGGTACATGCAGTTGAGAGGACACCGTTGATGATTTCAAATCACAATTGAATGGGTACTCTTTACATTGGATACACTTTTGTCAGGCGGAATATTTCAATGTAATGATTTCTTCTCTACGTGCGTTTTATGTAAATAATAACATATTTCAAAAAATCTCCGTGGAATATTTTTTTAACAATGACTATCAAGTGTACTTAAATGAAAAAACTTTCGTGCGAAAAGAAATAGAAAAACACAAATTCATCATGCCATTTTTTCTAAAGCTTCATCGATTACAGGTTGAATCGTTCTAATAAATTCAATAAGTAATTCTGACAGTAAAGTATATTTTAGACATGACATCTAAGCTTGGTTTGTCAGCGTATCAAGCTAAACGACAAGCTCTGATTAACCTCGCATTAAAAAGAGAACCAGCTCCAATTACACCGCGTTCGAAAACAGTTGTCACTTTTGTTGAGGATGTACCAAGTAGGAATACTAGTATCCAAGAGCCCTCATCTACAAGCACACCTATTAATCAACATCCATCGCCTAGACGACAAATTATCACAATAGGATCAGCACCAGTGATCATCGGTCGTCTTCCAATTACAAGTGCTCCTATTAACGAGTTACCGTTATGCTCTAGGCATGCAAGCGCAATGAAAACAGCAACATCATCACCGCAAAAAGTCATTAATGAATTACCACCAGCAAATACGCAATCAGCCTATACCGCAACATCAATATTGTGAGTGAACTGCTTGAATGTATTTGCTTGCGAATCAGAATATGATTTTGTTTTTAGAAAGAAAACTACCATGCGAGTAACATCTACAGTCCTACCGCCAGTGGGAGCGAGCTCCAGCATTTCGCCATTATTTCCTCTGGTAGCTCTAGCACTACTTCTGCTCATGCTTGGTGCAGCCGCGATCATTATACCACCTGTGGCTTTATCAATACAAACGTACAAAGGTTGCTCAAATAGTTCTTATTGTTTTTTTTCCAAATCTTTCTTTGGTTATAGATATATCTTGTATTCCTGGTTGTTGGAACGGTGGTAGTTGTTCAGCTAAAAACGTCTGTACTTGTTTAACAGGTTTCCAAGGAGATCGTTGTCAATCACGTAAGTCTTTTCTATTACATAAATATGGACTCTAGATCAAAAAATGCAATTGTAGCTATATGTAATCAAAGTTGTACCCATGGACTTTGCACAAGTCCTTATCATTGCCAATGTCAAGCAGGTTGGAATGGAACGTATTGTGACCAACGTACGTTTGAAATCCGATGTCAATGACAAGTAGTCTACTCTTGATTATAATTTTTCAGCTGTTTGCACTACTGCTTGTGTCAACGGAAATTGTACTTCACCCAACTATTGCAGGTAACTTTTCGAACGATGTTTTTCTTGGTTATTACATAGTATCCATTGTTGTTGTTTATTTAGCTGCATTGCTGGATATTCCGGTTATTTATGTTTGACGCGTAAGCACATTCTATCAGTCGGTTCATCAACTCATCAAGATCCTTATTTTAGCTGTCTGTTCGCCGTCATGTGTACACGGATTTTGTACAGCACCAAACACCTGCACGTAAGTTGTTTTGTCAATAGTTCACGAGTGAAATAGCATAAACTACTGTTTATTTAGATGTAATACTGGATGGAATGGTACCATTTGTGACCAACGTCAGTGTTCTTTGTGTATTTAGTTGTAGAAACCTGCAATCAGTACTCTTTCTTCTTGTAGCAATATGTTCACCAGCGTGTGTTAATGGGAATTGTACATATCCCAACGTATGCAATTGCAGCACAGGTTGGAAGGGTAGTATATGCGATACACGTAAGTATATCTCTAATCCGAGTTTGTCTATATGTAAGCATGAGATATATTTACCAGCTATTTGTTCGCCTGCTTGCTTGCATAATTCGAACTGCACAGCTCCAAACACGTGTGCTTGTTCAGCCGGTTACAATGGTAGCATTTGTCAAAGTCGTAAGTTCTTGAAGTAATCGTTATCAATCACTCAATTTTCTCTTCATCATTAGCTATTTGTCCTGTGGCCTGTTTAAATTCTGGCAACTGCGTAAGTACAATTAGAATATGAATTGCAGCCGATACGATCGATTCCATACTAGACGGCACCATCCAATTGCACTTGCCCATCGACATATACTGGCGCAATCTGTGAAACTCGTAAATTTTTTTACTCTGAATATTATGTTGTTCTAATGACAGTTTTATTGTTTAGCTGTGTGCAAAAATGCATGCTTAAATGGTGGAAATTGTACTGGTAAGATTCATTTGAATCGAACGAAATCGTGTCAATTACTTGATCAATCTTTTTATAGCACCGGATACGTGTACTTGTGTTTCAGGATGGAATGGTAGTCTTTGTGAAACACGTAAGTGATTAATAGGGCTATACAATGAGTTCGTAAAGAACAAATCCCCTTTTAGCCATTTGTTCACCATCTTGTATAAATGGAGGCACTTGCGTGAGTGAAACCGACTAGCTATCCTACGATCTGATTATTTTGATTCGTTTCCAACTAGATTTCACCACAGAACTGCTCTTGTAAGACAGCAAATTGGGTTGGATCTATATGTGAAATACGTGAGTGACAATTTCATCTCAAAGATTCTCTTTATTTTCAACTATTAATCTACCCATTGCAGCGGTTTGCAGTACTAACTGTAGCAACGGTGGCACATGTGGACCGACTCCTCATATATGGTAGGTGTAGTTTTCATACTTATTTGTAATATTATTTCTATCCATCATCCAAAATAGTAATTGCACTGCGCAATGGACAGGTACATTTTGTACTAGTCGTAAGTTCGTACATCCTATAAGACAATATATGATTATGCTTTGTGATCTTTTTTAAAGCTGTTTGTACGACACCATGTGAAAATCAAGGCGTGTGTATATGTATGTAGGAATGATTCAATCATTCGCTCTTTTTTCCTTTTCTTTACCAAAGATAGTACTTTGTTATAGCGCCAAATAATTGTTCCTGTCAAATAGGATATAACGGTAGCGTTTGTCAATATCGTACGTATCTATTCAATGTGGAAGACATTCAGATAAAATTTACTGTTCTTTCAATAGCTATCTGTGATCAGCCGTGTAATAATGGCGGTATCTGTATTGCACCCAGTCAATGTAATTGTACAAGCTCGTGGTCAGGTTTTTTATGCGACATACCACGATGTAATCCGATATGTGAAAATAATGGTACGGAGTAATGTGTTTTCATCTTAAATCTGCAAAATTATTATTTTTTTGTGTTTCAGGAGTATGTATAGCTCCAAGTACATGTCTTTGTAATAATTCGACTTGGACTGGCTCCTACTGTCAAATACGTAAGTTGATCGTCAACGAAGCAATGATCTATTCAAATTGTTCGTTTTCTCTTCTAGCAATCTGTTCAAATCCTTGTCAAAATGGTGGCCAGTGCATAGCACCCAATACTTGCCAATGTGAGATTTAATACGATGATACAACGGATTTATTTATCAGTCATTTATAGGTGCTGCCGGTTATACGGGCTCTCTTTGTCAATACTGTAGGCATCAAAATACACATACTCGTGTTCTTTAGTTGTTGTTCGTTTTAACATTTTCTTTACAGCTATGTGCGTCCCAGTAAACAATCATGATCTTTTTGGCTATCAAGAATCAAATGCTACTTGTCAAAACGGTGGAACTTGTATATCACCGAATCAATGCGCAGTCAGTAAAGATATTATTTAATTCAAAACTATTGCTGTTTGCTTGCAGTGTACTTCATCGTGGAATGGAACATATTGTCAACTCCCTATTTGTACAACCGCCTGTCTAAATAATGGCAATTGCACTGCTCCGAATACGTGTACCTGCGATACAACACTGTGGACCGGTGTAATATGTGAAACACCCGTCTGCACACCAACATGTCAAAATTCAGGCAACTGTACTTCTCCTGGTGTATGCACTTGCGACACAACACAATGGAGCGGTAGTCGTTGTGACGTACCAGTATGCACGCCGGCGTGCCAAAATTCTGGAAATTGCACTTCTCCAGGCGTGTGTACTTGCGATACGACACTGTGGAGTGGAAGTCGCTGCGAAACACCTGTTTGTACACCAACATGTCAAAATTCGGGTAACTGTACTTCTCCGGGTGTATGCACTTGCGACACAACACAATGGAGCGGTAGTCAGTGTCAAACACCTGTATGTGCATTACCATGTCAAAACTCGGGTACTTGTACTGCTCCAAATACTTGTACATGTACATCACAATGGACTGGAGCAGATTGCACTACTGGTATGTTCTGCTTCATAACACGTTCTATCACAGAAATGATTAATTTTTCTTAATTATTATTTACTAGTCAATTGTCATATGTGCAGTGGATCATCATATAGTTTATCTTGTTACAACTGTATTATATCAAACAACATGTGCACAGTAACATGTGATTGTGCATACAGTGGTGGAAATCAGACAACATCCATAGGTTTACTAACAGGTGTCAATAATGGATGTGATCTGGCTAATATCAATGGAAACTTGATCTGCACGGGTTCATGTCCATAAATACATTTGATTCTTTTTCTTTCGATGGATTAAAACGAGACGAACATTCTTATTTGACAAGTTTGTAATAAAATGAACTAATACAGAAAGACTTCGTTTAAAATGCTTACCTCAGTCGAGTTTATTTAATCGTTTAAAAAGAAAATACAAATCAGCAATTGCCACAATAAACGCACAAAATAATCCACATATTATTTGTAACACGAAATGTTTCACGCCCATAGAGTATTCCACTGCTTTATAACCAAAAACAAACGCTCCACCGATCGTTAGAAACACGTTGGCGACAGTTATCAATTGTCCTTGTACGGATTTCATATCAGGCATGAACGAACCTGCTGATTGTTCTGTATACAATCGATTACAACTGACATTTTTAGTCATTTCATCGTATTCTCGATTAGCTTGTTCAGCTTTGAGTCGTTCGACACGTTCGTTTAATTCCGGATTTCTTTCAGGTTCAACATAGGCTGGAACAAATAAATCGCAATCAGCTAGAATTTCATGTAAATACATTTTCTTATCAGATAAATTATGGGCGTCAACAATAACGGATGCTGGAATGTACTCGGTTGTTTTCGATTGAAGAACTTTCTCGATTTGCTTATAACTATTGGAATTTTGATCGTCAAGAGTTTGCAAAGTCTTTTCTAAGAAATGTTCGATTGTAGATGTACGTTTAATTTGTACTAAATTCATATTTTAATTGTGAATAAACAATTGAAAACCAATCCAACCGAGTCCGTAAAGTGTTAGAGCAATGATTATTGTTGATGGAATAAGAAGAAGATAATAAACTGGAAGAATAGACAATATGGTCATGAAAGTGAGATAACTATCTACTCGACGATGAATGACGTCTTTTTCTTCTCGAAAAATCGAACCAGTGACACATATGAAATGGCTGACTGACTGACTGACATGAGAATTCTTTTCTGATTGGAAGACAGCCAGATGAGTCATGCAGTTGTGAGGTAAAATTTTTATTCGTTGGTTCATATAAAAAGAAAAACCCAGATAAAGATTGAACTCTTTGTTCGTCGAAATCATTTCTAACATTAAACATGTCGAATAAAGTAGATTTACATCGTAAATTAAAAGAAATTGGCTATGAAATTGGAGCATTTGCTTCGAAGGATACTCTATCCAATGTAATGCGCCTTCATCAATTGGTAGGAACATGTTATGCTTCATACGAAATTATTTGATCCAGTTCATTGTCTTTTAGGCCGAAGAAGACAAAGGAGTCAATGTCGCCAAATTAAGTGATCATGAACTTCGCAAGAGTTTAGTTGATAATGGTCTTGCAGTTGGACCGGTGACAAGTAAGGAACATTTTTTGATGAGAGTTACTTCTTTTTGCATAAAGAAAAATTTCAGGTCATACACGATCGATTTATCAACGGAAACTACTTGAAGTTTTGACTAATGAAACAACCGAAGGTGAGATTGAACGTTTTTCAAACGTACAAACAGATACACAAGATTTGATTTGATTTCTAGGTCAAGAAGATGTTACCGAAATCGAATTACCCAGTTCAACTACATCACCACCACGCTCAACTCGTAATTCAATTATTCGGTAAGTATTTCTCATTTCTTTCTCAAACTATGTTCTTTTGTGAATTCCTTCATAGCGAAGAAAATGGTCTTGCACCATCTTCACCTGATCGGCTGCATTTGCACGAATTTCAAGAACCACGCATTCCATTAAATCGTGTGGAGATCGATGATAACAACATCCGTAACATCTCATCGTACTATCCAAACATCTCAATAACGAAATCAAAAGTTGAAGAGACAATCACAAATTCTTATTCTTCGCAACGTTCATCAACCAAACCCGAACCGCGAAATAGCAATGTTTCTTATGGTTTACGTAACCCTTATGATTTCCAAAACGATGAACCAATGATCATTCGTCACGAACACAAAGCAACACCATTTCGAACATCAAATGTTTCTCCAAGCGAAACATTTCCAACAAACACCAATCGATTCTCTAAATCATCGGATATTCAAGCAATCGCGCGTAATGATTTTAATGAAATTCGCTCGAGAATCTTTCCAGATGTCAATGAACAAAAAGAACTCAAAGGTAATCCAGATATTACAACCAAAAAGCCCTCGTTTACACACGATCCAGAAATTAAGAAACCAACAGTCAATGGAAAAGTCGATGTGGCAGCCAAAAGTAATTCAAATCTTAGTCGAAACCTTCTTCATTATTTATTCTTTTCTTTCAGATGGCGGATCATACCTCTATGCTGGTATTACAGTTGGTGTCGCATTGGTTGTCTTTGTGCTTTATCTCTTCTTCGAAAAATAAGTGCAACTATTATGTAGAAACAAGGAACTTATTATTTTTTTATAAGAATATCTTTATCTCGTTTATCAGACAATCCTTTTGATGTAATTATCTGATCATATGAGATCCTATGTGCACTCTTTATTTTCTCTCTTGTATTTCATAATGTCTACGTGGATTATTTTTTGTACTTGAAGAATAAAATAACGAAAAATTTAAAGAATATTTTACTGTTATTGTTTATTAGCAAAATATCGACGAAAAGATAGACGTAAACAAAATATCTGTTCAGAAAAAGTTGATTTCACCTGAACGATGAGATAGAAATTCGATGAAACAAGCAAGAGAGATTTATTGGACACTAGGAAATAGTGTTTTACCACTTCGTGTAACAATTCCATCTTCAGGAATCGGTGGTGTATGAAAATCGTCATCGGCATCTTCAGTTTCATCATCCGCACCTGTATAAATCAAGATTTTCTTTCACAATTCTTCTCTCTCACGCAGTTTACCTTCACTGTTTTCGTTTGTTATAGCTTCCAGAAGTTTTCGTTGATAGATCGCACGTGTATGACCTATTTTAGGTATACTAGGATACGTTTGATTCAGAAGAAACTGTTTACCTATGACAGGACCAGCGACAATATTGTGTTCGTTTAAGCTACGACGAAGTTCATGATCATTCATTTTCGGAACATCAATTCCTTTGTCTAGAGCCTAAAGGGAGTACATAGATCTTTGACATTCGCATGTGAGAAATTACTTTTGAATGAAGATGTAACAGATTCATCAGTGTTTCTTTCGAAGTGAAGGTATTCAGGTCATAACCATACGTTTTCATCATTAATTGCAATTCGTGTTTAGTTGACATTTGTGTATTTATTAAAGGAAAACAAAATCTGAAGACAGACAAACAAACAGATGATTAAGATTCCATGATTTCATTGGAAGGATTCGAGCCTCCGAGAGGTGGGAGGAGTGTTCGTATCAAATCGATCAATTCATTACTTTGCGCTTCAGTTAAACGCGTTTCTGAATCTTCAATGATTAACTGTAATTCAACAGGTGTTGTTGGACGTAAATTAAATATCTGTAGAATTTCCATTTTTTTCAAATCAAACTTTTTCACTTCGTGATAAAACTGCTTGATTATCGTTGGATTTTGTTCGACACATGGCGTTTGTTCGAGATATTTTAATGTTTCGTAAGTAACGGTATTCAAACCAAAATTACAATGTTCGAGTGTCCGATTTTGTCCTTTCTTTCCTCGTTTGCCACTTTCGCGTTCAGTATTTGTATCGTGAATTTGCTTCACCACAATATAGACTTCATAATTCGACAACGGACGAATGGAATCCCGTTGAAAATCCATGAACTTGTCGGAAGTATTCTTTTTATTTGAAAGACAAATCTACAATAGACATGAGCATGTTGTTTTTTTCCTCTAATTTGTGGAGAAAGGAAATCTTGGGAAACGATCTAATATACAACCGAAAAAAGATCAGGGATCACAAAAAAGAAAAACTAAAGAGTAGAAGGATTAAAATGTCTAGTATTTGTGTTCAGACCAACGGTTGCTTGTACGTGCTTTGAAACCACGATCGACATAATCGTTTGACTCGAGCGATTTCCATGGTTGGACAGTCTAGGCAAATCATCAGATCGATGATTGAAAAGAAGCATAACAAGTCAAACTTACAGCAGCATTATAACCTTTGTAACCATAAATCTGAGCTCCACCCCATTTTTCCCAGTCCTACAAAAATGACTTTTTTCAGATCGGATATATATGTATGGCAACACGCACTTGTTTGTGATAAAGAATCATGTATATCCAACTGCAAACACCCAAATGAATAAGAAGGAACTTAGGAACGACTTGGCGCAGGAGAGATGCAGCATTATTACCCTATGTAGAAGTAGAAAGATTTGATCTTCAAATAGTTCTGTTTCAGTGTATACATACCACAGCCGGACGTAATCGGTTGAAAACACTATCCCAGAAAACCATCCATCTATAGCGAACGGGATTTTTGTGAAGTTTATTTAAATTCGGAACGTTTTTCGGTTCATCAGCTGCTAAAACTTGATCTTGAAGCCATTGCTTACGCCATAAACGTTCTTCGTTACTCATTCGAAATGGTAAACGTGCACGTTCATATTTAAATGGTTGAATACTAAACTCGCGTTCCCATACTGGAAATTTATCTCGAACATCATGAGGATACAAATAACGTTGTTCCTCCCACGAAGAGTGACCCGTCATAATTCGACTTATTAACTGGACACTTTTTTTTCCGAATAAAATCTAGAAAATCGAACGAAGTTGCATGAGAATCGATGAATAACATAACAATTTCGAAATAAAACAAAACAAAATTGTTTATTTGCTGGAAAACTCCGAGCGCCACAATCACTGTCAATGTTCTAACCATAGTCGAACAAAAAAATTTAATTAGATCGAAAATACCACGCTTCATTTCAATGGATTTCATACGAGTGCTGGAAAACTTCAATTATACTGAAGCAAATTTGTTTATACGACTCCTTTCTCGTGGACATCGACTTTCATCCGATTGGGTAATCCTATCTTCTCTTCTGTTTCTTTACTAACCGTTAGTTAGTTTTTACCAATCCATATCTATTGAGGGTATATATACATGCTCACATCAGTTTTGGCGTCATCACAAAAACATACGAAACGGACGGACGGGAGAGTACAAAAATTAACTCGACCAGTCGTCCTCATTCCAGCATTCGAAAGAGAGAGAGAGGAGTAAAGATAATATATTTTCTGTCTATATACTCTGCTGTTCGAATGGACGTGCTGGCTATAGAGATACTAGTATAAAGAGCTTTTGGACAGACCGTTTATTAAATTCATTTGATTAGATATATATATATATTTGTCTATAGATTTCGATCAAAAGAGTTCTTTGTTCTTCTATTTCATTTAGATCATTCTATTTACATAGAGATATCTTCTCGGTGAAAAATACCTATATATACACACTTATAAACGCACATACATACAATTCGATAAAGTCTCATGTTGATCATCATTTGCTGATGTCTACCACGCCACAAGGCTCTACAACGACTCAAAACGAAACACCCTTAACTTCGACGACAAATACAGTGCCTGATCAAGACTACCTTCTGACTGACGACAATACCGATTGTCGACGTAGTGAGGCATTTGATCTGCCTAAATCAAAGAAATTCAGATCATCAACATCATTGATTAGTAACGGCAGCGAAACAATCAATATGTCATCAAATGGTAATAATGCAAATCTCGGTGAAGCTATGGAACATACTAATGGAAGCGTGAATTGTAATGGGGTAAGTTATTCTTTCGGTCAATTCATTTCAGAGTAATAACTTTTCTATGAATCATAGTCTTCTACTAGAAGATTCGAATATTTTGCGCTAAAAATAACTATTTGTCAGAGAAGATGGTTTATTTCCGAACAAACTTTTGTTTTAACTCGACAATAGATACTAGCAATCCACGTTCTCATGTAAGTGGAACATGTTTAATTTCTGTCGAACACTTTCACTCACATTGACTGACATCTGTTTTTGAAAAGAAAGAAAATGCTTTACTGTGTTGTTGTTGTCGTCTTTCTCCCTCCATTCTCCTTCTTTCCATTCTTTACATAGCTTCACTAATAACAGGTGATAGAAAGAAAGAAAGAAAGAAACAGAAAAGAGAACAGCAAAAAAAGACGACAACGTCACTCTGGACTTTTTCTTCCTCGAACCACAAATACTGTCCTCTCTACGATAGAAGAAAGAGAGAAAAAGAAAATGCTTAAGTAAAGCTTTCATTTGACGGTCTGTCCTTTCTATAACTGACTCACTCAAAACATTAGAAGAATATTTGCCTACATGCGTTTGGATTCCTTTTCCAACATCATTTTCTGTTTTTTTTTACATATAGTAGAGTGAGTAGTTGATTATGAATGTAGAAGGTAAACACAGGCAGTCACTTTTTTCCCCGTTTTTTTCTTTATCCATCTGGTGCGTCTTGACGTGCTCAAGTATGCACATGAGATGGAGGTCAAACATAGAGTGACGCTCTTTATTGGACTTTTACACCATTGAGTTGATCTAATATCTAGTTCAATATGTTCTCTTTCTCCATTTAGAACAGTGAAAATAATAGTTCACAAGCAACACAACAAACAACAACATCGAATCAAATGGCAGACGGTTTACAACACCAAACGTCAACAACATCGTCGAAGACACCCGAAATCGATGAAGGTCTCTATTCTCGACAATTGTACGTCATGGGCAAGGAAGCCATGCACCAATTGGCTAACGCTCATGTTCTTATATCTGGCATGCGTGGTCTTGGTGTTGAAATAGCGAAAAACATCATTCTTGGTGGCGCTAAAGCAGTCATCATTCACGATTGTGATAAAGTCGATTACGCTGATCTTTCGTCACAAGTAAATAGAATATCAAGAGTGTATGGAAGGATCTGTCACGATCGATTGATTATTTTTTTAGTATTATTTTTCGGAAAAGGATATTGGTCAAAATCGCGCTACTGTGGCGAATAAACGATTAGCAGAATTGAATAGTTATGTCAACGTAACATGCTCGTCAGCACCACTCGATGGAACTTTTCTTCAAGAAAATAAAATCAATGTAAGTCAAAGAATAATTTTGAAGGCTTTCCTTGTGTAAATGCATACATATATTTCTTAGGTTTTCGTTCTAACCGATGCTGATTTTGCGGAACAAGTCAGCTTAGGTGATTATTGTCACAGCAACGGAATAAAATTCATCGTTGCCAATACGAAAGGTTTATTTGGGTGAGATTGAAATCAGAATCATTCAAGTCAATATTTATCATTCGTGCTCCATTCTAGTCAAATTTTCTGCGATTTTGGTAAGAATTTTGTTGTTCTCGATACCAACGGCGAAAATCCATTAACGCAAATCGTCACCGAAATAAGTCATGTACGTATATTTCTATTCAAAATGATCTCGATCGTTTATCAAACAGTTATCGATGTAAATTGAGATTCATAATACTTGACGCAGCCACAAAGTATCCCTCAGACGAACTAGATATATTTACAGACGGTTAGGTTTTCTTTTTCATTCTGTGCTCTGATGCATATTAAAATTCAGCAGTTTTCTTCTTCCACTTGTCAAAAACATACTGATCTTGAAGTAGCGATGAGATATAATCTAGAACATGAACTTTAAGAAAAATATTTGCAATTCTGATTTGATTATTTAGGATGAATCGGGTGCTGTTTTTATGTCCACAGATACACGACATGGGTTTGAAGAGGGTTCATATGTTACCTTCCATGGTGTCAAAGGAATGACTGAAGTCAATGATCGAGAATTTAAAATTGCCGTACCAAGTATGTCATCTGAAGAGATATCATTTGACTTAAGAGCTAAATCTTTGTTTTCCAGGTCCATTCACATTCACTATTGGAGATACGAGAAACTTTGGAGTTTATGAAAGTGGTGGAACAGTAACTGAAGTGAAAAAACCAGAATCTGTGAATTTTGTAAGATCGATTTGCTGAAACGATTTCTGCTCACCTTTCAACTATTTATTCTAGAGATCATTTTCGGAATCTTTACAAGAGCCTGAAATGTTAATTTGTGATTTTTCCAAAATGTCCATGCCTGCCAATCTTCATTTAGCATTTCAAGTTTTACCGCGTTATCAAAAGCAGTACAATTCCTTGCCAAAACCATGGAATGATGTATGTTGTCTACTGTCGAGCTGTTTCTTATTCACCAATTGATTTCGTTTAGGCTGATGCTGAGAAATTCTACGAATTAGTCGAAACATTGAACAAAGAAAATCGAGAAAATCCCTTAACCGATGAATTGAATAAACACTGGATTAAATTATTTGCCAAGACATGCACAGGTGATTTATGTCCAATGCAAGCTGTCATTGGTGGAATTGCTGCTCAAGAAGCCATGAAAGTAAGAATTCGATATTTATTTCGGTTGATTCGCTCAATGAAAATGATTGATGTTTAGGCAGTGACAGGAAAATTCATGCCGATTCGACAATTCTTCTATTTTGATGCGATCGAATGTTTACCAGAAGATGTCTTTCAACCACCAACCGAAGCAGTAACAACAACCGAGAACAAAGGTTCTCTCAGATTACCAACGAAGAAGTCGCGATATTACTCACAAGAGATTGTCTTCGGTGAAGATTTTCAAAAAGCATTAGGCGAAACGAAATATTTCGTGGTAAGAAAACTGAGTTGTCTTCTGATCGCATATCAAAATATTTGTCTTTGGTCAACATAGGTTGGTTCGGGTGCCATCGGTTGTGAAATGTTAAAGAACTTCGCTATGATGGGCTTAGGATGTGGAGAAGGTGGTCATATCTATGTTACAGACATGGACTCTATCGAGAAATCAAATTTGAATCGACAATTTCTCTTCCGCTCATGGGACATCGGAGTAAGTACACATTCAGAAAACATAAATTTAATATATATCCTCGACTTTCATAGAAAATGAAGTCTCAGGTAGCAAGCGAAGCGGTCAAACACATGAATCCAAGTATGAACATTCGCGCATATGTCGACGGTGTTTTACCTGAAACCGAAAATATCTATAATGATCACTTCTTTGAACGATTAGACGGTGTTGTCAATGCACTTGACAATGTCAAAGCCCGTAAGTGTCAATTAGCATATGAATAGAAATAAGTATTGATGCTCATTCACACTAATTTGACTTTTATCGTTCAGGTCAATATGTCGACCGTCGTTGTGTTTATTATCAAAAACCATTGGTTGATAGTGGCACATTAGGTACAAAGGCCAGTGTTCAAGTTGTTGTTCCATTCCTTACGGAATCATACTCATCAACAAATGATCCACCTGATCCGTCGGTACCAATGTGTACATTACGTAATTTCCCTAATTTGATTGAACATACAATTGAATGGGCGCGTGATAATTTCGCTGGTCTTTTTACTATTCCTGCTCAACAAGCTGAAGAGTTCATTCGTTCAGGAAAAGAATTCGCCGAACGAACATCTAAAAATCATTCAGAATATGATAAAAATGAAATTGTTGACAACGTCAAACGTATTCTCGGTTCTGAACGTCCAAAAACTTTCACCGATTGCATAAAATGGGTAAGGTCCTCGTCGTTTTTCTACCCATCACAAAACTAAGTCATCAAATCTGTTTTCTAGTCGCGAAATCTATTTGAACAACAATTCCACAATACAATTGCCCAATTACTTTACAATTTCCCACGTGAACACGTCACCAGCAAAGGTGACCGTTTCTGGAGTGGAAACAAACGTTGCCCACATGTACTGAAGTTCGATGCCAACAATAAACTTCATTTAGACTTTATTGTCGCTGCATCAAACCTATTAGCATATATGTATCACATCGAAGGATCGCGTGATCGACAAGCTATTGCTAAAGAAGTAGTGAAAATTCTTGTTCCCGAATTTCAGCCCAAGTCTGGTGTTACCATTCATGAAAATGATGAACAATTAAGAGCTGATAATGAACGGCAGAAGAACATGAATGCTATGCGTAAAGGAGGTCAAGGCGCAAATGAATCAGAAGCTGATTTAATCCTTGCGCGGTTACCCAATCGCGATGATATCAGTCATATTAAAATTCGAGCACATGAATTTGAAAAAGATGATGATACCAACTTTCATATGGATTACATTGCCGCAACAGCGAATCTCCGCGCTGAAAATTATGAAATTCAAACAGCTGATCGTAGCAAGATTAAACGTATTGCTGGAAATATCATTCCAGCTATTGCAACGACCACTGCGATGGTTACTGGTTTAGTTTGTCTTGAAGTTTACAAATTCATTCAAAAGCATAAGAAAATTGAATCATTTCGAAATGGTTTCGTCAATTTGGCTTTACCATTCTTTGGCTTTTCCGAACCAGTTCCACCAAAACGTCAAAAAGTGAGAAGAGCTATTGTCAAGTTCATAAGCATTCTTCTGTTCTGATTTCTAGTATCTCGACAAAGATTTTACTTTGTGGGATCGATTCGACGTTAAGGGCGATATGACATTGGAAGAACTGATTGAATACTTCAAAGTAAATGAAAAGTTCTGACAGGAAAATTGCATTCTCATTTATTGTTATCTAGCGTGAACATAAACTCGTACCAAACATGATTTCAGCAGGAATGTCCGTTATTTATAGTCCACATTTTATGCGCAAGGAAAGCAAAGCACAAGATATGAAACGAAAGTATGTATTTCTTTGTCTTCGGAATGTCCTTTTCACATTTTCGTATGTTTTTTTTTCTTTAGAATTTCAGAATTGTTTGAAACGGTGACCAGAAGCAAGATACCTGCCCATGTTTGTTCACTTACATTAGACATGTTATGCAATGATCTTGAAGGAAATGATGTAGACGATGTTCCCTATATCAAGTACACATTTAGATGAACACTTGGCAACTCGAAGGACATACAGAGATAAGCTTCTTAATCTTTAGTCCTTTCTTTTCTTTTTTTCAACTAAGTGTCACTCTTTTTCCTCTTATTTGTCTATTGTAGCTCTGTATGTGCGTTCATCTTTTCCTTTTTTTTCTCTCTTTGTTCTGTTTTATGATTATTCCAGAGTGCTCAAAAGTGAAAAATAAAGAAAAACAAAGCTTTCTATCTATACAATGATTATGCTGCGGTCGAAAGAGCGAGTGACACGATCTTTGTGGGTGCAAAGTCTACAGTTTCACCTAGATTCTCTATTTTATTAACTAATATGTGGTTTCAGCTGAATGAGAGAAAAACCATCCAATTGCGCGTGGACACATATTTGAAAAGAGTTCCTTACATAATTCATATCTCGGTAAAAGATTAAAGACCATTATTAATAGTAAGCATTCATAGTCATAAATATTCATACTATATATTATACGAAGAAAAGTTCCCTTATTAATAGCGATTGTTTTCATCAGATATCTGCCGACTGAGTAAGACATCTTTCGACGGTTATTGTTGTTTTGATTTTTATTGCACCATTGCAATCTATCGATGTCGAACGAAGGAACACGATGAATATTATCATACGTCTTTTCCTGTACCCAAATATAGGTACGTCATGCTTGTTATAACAGCGTAATTAACGCCGAATTATGCGCATAAGACTAATATTATGTTGAAAATATCTTAATAAGTCTTTCGTACACAAGAATTCACTCGATAATGCCTATCAATCTTCGACATTCGTTTAATCAAATTCCATTACCCTCACTTCCGTATTATACGCTAATTAGTAGTACATTATTAGTTGGTCATGTTTTTTATCTTCACCAATCGATCCAATCGAACGTGAACAATTCTTTAGCTGATACGAATATCACAAATCATAGTATATTAAATGCTAATCAAACAAACGTTGCTATCGACTCGAAGCCATTCTCCTGGAATTATATTCGAACATTCATGACAACTCTCTTCTCACAATCACTTTCACTCCTGGTAACAGCGACGGATATCTGGATTTTCTTGTTGAAATTCTTCCACTATTTAGATATTTGTGAATGTGATCTATTGCTTTGCAGCATTATTAGCACGACAATTACAAAGATTTGTCTTTGGTGAATTACGTGCGGTAGAATTACAACGAATAAAAGATAAATTTTGGAATTATACATTTTATAAGTTTTGTTTTCTTTTTGGCGTACTTGGTCTCGAAAATTTACATGAACTCATACTTTGGATATCCTGGTTTTTCATACTGGCTTTCGCTTTCCTTTTTTGTCAATTAATTAAAGATCGTTTCGAATTAGTAAGTTTCTTCATTACGACTAGCTCATTTACACGCCCGTTATCTCCTTTTCATGCGATTATACCACATCTGACTATACACCCTCACCCACACAGGCAAAGTATCCAAATTGTCATTTTGACCTTTGACCTATATGAAATTTTTGGAGAATCTTTGAGAAGGATGTAGATCTTCTTTCTGTTTTGTTTTAGTTTTCAACCTCGATCACCGTTTCTCGACAATCATTGAATCGTATACTTTGTCTACTGATCTGTTTACTATGTTTATGTTCTGGTTTATTCAGTCTTTGCTACCTCGTCGGGTTCAAACACGGTGGACTATCAATCTTTATGTTTATGTTAGCTGAAAGTCTCTTATTGACACTTGATACAAGTTATCTGATACTTAAATACGCTTTGCTTCAGCAACGAACCAATGAATATCGTTCGCAAATTCTTTACTATTTAGAATTTAGTTTCGATATATCCGCCTTGGTTATTGATATTTGTTATCATTTACAAATGTTGTTTTATCATCATACATTCATGTCGATGTCGTCGTTGATCTTTTTTATGCAATTGAAACCATTGTTTAATGAGTTAACACAGCGGTTGAAACGACATCGATCGTATCGATTGGCGATGACACGTATGGAAAAGAAATATCCGTTATTGACCAAACATGACTTAGAAGAAAAAGCTCGAAAACAAAATTGTTTGTCAAGCTCCGAAGAAATCTGTGCTATTTGTTGGGAAAAATTTGATAAAGCTCGTTGCTTACCATGTGAGACCCTTCCGATTCCGATGAAGTTTTGTTTCTATTTCTATAATTATTTTCAGGTGGCCATTTATTTCATCAAAATTGTCTTCGCAGTTGGCTGGAACAAGATGCATCATGTCCAATATGTCGATTATCATTGCAGGACGACACAAATGCAGTAGCTTCACGAACAGCCTCGATTAATCATGATTTACCAATCACGACGGATCAGCGTCGAGGACGTAATCATCTGTTTCGTTTTGATGGCCATCGGTATTCGTCATGGTTACCAAGTTTTTCAATTATGATCAATCACAACTTCCCATTTCGGTTTGGTCGCGCCCGTTTGACTGGCGTTCAGTTGACAAGTATGGCACAAAGTATCCAACATGTTTTTCCGCAAATGCCATTTGAAGTTATTCTTGCCAATCTACAACAAACGCAATCAATGGATGCAACTATTGATAATATCGTTGAACGACGTATTCAATTCGAACCACAACAGGAACAAGAAGATGACGATGAAGAAAATGAAGATGAAAATGCACCAACGTCGGAACTCGATGTCTCATCTGGAATTCCTCTCGAAACTACAGAATCAAATTATCGTAATCTGTTGTAAGTAGAATTCTCTTGATCTATTTCTCCATTTGTTCATATATTCTAGATTAAATTCATTGGAAACAATTGAAGACAATGCGGATAGTTTTGTATGGCCACTAGACCCTAGTTTACCATTTGAACATCGCAAACAACTGCTGATCTCACATATGCGACGGTAAGACAATAATTTTTCCATAAAATTATCTTGAATTTAACAATTTAGACAATATCTTGCACGTGATCGTCGTCTTCAATTATCATCAAACAAATGTGATCAATAATATCGTGCTAGTTGTTCATGTATATTTCCTTGAAATCAATAATAAATCCTTATTTTTATATAAGCTTATCAATAATCTAATCTATTAAGAGCGAGGACTTGTTTGCAAAAGTTCAGTAAACAACAATCAGCCTTTCCATGATCATCAGATGTAAATTTATTTGAAAATGGAAAGCCTAATCTGAATAATAAGTCGATCGTCTGTTTTCATTTCTATTCTGTTCATCAATCAAATATCTAAACATGTCTCTATGTATGTTTTTTTCTATAAAAAATTTAAATGGACAAAAAGAAAACGAAAATCACCGGAGACTTCAAAGAGAAGAAGCGAAAAAATGATTTTTATCAGTTCGAATACAAACTATGAATAATACGTAAGAACATTCTTTTGATTACCACGTAAGAACAAGATGGGTGGCATGTTATAACTAATTGCATCTAAATAAGCAAGATACAGTCCAGCAGAGATCGATTGTTTACGTGGAATGGGCAATGTACTAAAAAAGTCAAGGGTAATTTCATTCGAGAAATTTTCGATAACTTACACAACGATGAGAGTCGATTTGGAACTATGTTCTAAGAGATATTCGTGTAATTTTAGACCACGTTTGATTTTATCTTTGTTAGCTTCGTATTCTCGATCAGTGATGAGATAATTCTCATTTTTTTGATTCCAAGTTTTCAAAGTTTGTTGGAATCTCTCGCATTCAGCTTCGTTGGGTGACTTATTCAATCCATGGAGAACGTGTAAATCCGAGTAATTGATTCGAAATTTAGCTAATAATGATGCCATCGATAGATGTTGTTTTTCAGCTTCAGCTTTTTCACCTGAAATACATGAAAATATACGAAATCGACAATTACGCCAACGCTTTCGTCGTCGTAAGAGATAAGGTAACAATAATGTTAAACCACCATCATCGAATAGCCACCAAACATCGATAATCGTCGTGGATGAATGTTTAGGATGGAATACATTCATAGTTACTAGAGCACCTTTATTTAAGATCGTATTTTTTAACATCAACACATCGGTTTGATGCGGCGTTGCTGAACGTGCACCACTTCGTAAAGCGCTCGATGAGATGATTTCGTCGTTTTTATCTTCATCGTCACTATCGTCATCGTCATCGGGATCTCCGGGCAGATCTATGAAGAAAGAAAAGACAATCGAAGTTTGACCGAATTTTTTATATTTACCAGGTCCAAAAAAATCACTAAAATCAAGTCCTGTTTGAAGACGAAGAATTCCTACGGCATATTTCAGATCCAATGCATCATGAATGATATTGAAATAGTCGATAGTTGCTTCAGGTATTGTCGTCCAATCATTTTTGAAACCAAGGAAAACGACATTGGGTCGCATCTTACCTACGCCGACGCACTAGATGATGGAGAAATAGGAATTAATTAATAACTACTTCTATACTCTAGAGAAAATCTTTAGAGGCTTTCTGATTGAAATACTTAATATTTTAGAACAATTGAGAATTTGTAAGTGTAAGAAATAATGACATTTATGTAGCTTATGTCAGCATTCACACATGGAGTAAACATAAATATAGGAATATTTTTAGAACCTTACCTGTAATAATGCCATGGTTCCCTGTCGGAGAGTCGAGGCAACAATAGGTTGATAGAAAGCTTTGGAATTTCGTTTTTTTAACCAAGCTTCTCCGTGTTCTCTTTGATCATATAATTTAATATTCACTGATGGATCATTCTAAACACTCATGAAAATACATTGAAGAACGAAGTACTAAGTTTGATTCTTTTCCTTACCAAAACAACATTTCCACAAATCATTAAACTATGACCGTGAGTTACCGATGTTCCTAGATCAACTAACGCCGGTCGACAAATAGGATTTCCGGTTAATACTAATATTTGTGGTCGAAAATTCTTCACATGTTCTTGCACACTTCTCAATTTCAATGTCGCATCCAACGCTCGACGATAAGTATGAGCTTGTACCGAGGATCCCCAGTTAATTTCTAACAGAACATATTTTTATATCGACTATTCAAGCAGAAATCAAACTTTGCCTCACTCACCAGGTTTCGTTGTTCGAACATAGAGAAATATACCACTGCTAATCACTAATGTTATCAATGCTGCCCACCTACGTGAAATCAAACATAGAAACTTTTTCCATTCTCCTCTCGTTTCTTACCAGTTGATGATAAACATTACTGCAATACATAACAATGCACCAGTCAATGCTAGCCACTTGTTATAATATCGAAAAGCAGGTCTCCAACCGCTCGCTGTAGCCAACGATGCATCAAAACACGAATAGTTAACAAGTGCATACGTCATAAGAAAGAAATTAGAGATAATCGGTGCAATAACATTCAATTCACCTGAAATCAAATCAACGATAAAGTAGAAAAATCCCATTTTATTTCAATTCTTCACCTACCAATAGCCGTAAATAGAAGAGCGATGAAATATGTTAAGAAATAAGCGCGATGCGGTTCATCCGTTTTACCATTCCCGACAGAAAAATATTTCAATCGAGGAAAGATCATATCACGACATACAGCTTGAAATACCTTCGGAGCACCAACAAGACTCGCTAGAGAACAAACAACTTCGTCTCCAAACGATTGAAAACAAACAATTAGAATTTTACCTAACGCACTCGATAATGTCGCAGCGAAGATGCCAGCTGGAAGAAGAATTCCAACATTTCTATACAATAAAGTCATTGTTACTCACCGATGATGATTGGGCCATAGGCTGAGATCATTCTCATTGTTTGATAATTGTAAATTAAACCTGATTTACAGTTTTTATCATCAGAAACTAAACTACAGTTGACTATTTGTATCATACTACCATTTTTTCGTTCATAGAAAGGTACTAAAACGATTCAATTCGTTTGCATGTCTTTCAAATAAATCTGAATATCTTACAATTAACATCTCGTCTGGTTGTACAACCCGAGACAATACAAAAAGTGAGATAAACGATCGAAGTAAAACCTATGGCAACATTTGTCCCGAGTGGAATAGCTTTGGATGGATTCTAAGATGAATAAAAATTAGAATACAGATTTTGTAAAACTGCATCACTTACTTTTAAATTGCCAGATATATTTGCTCCAGCGAGAATGCCAGTAACTGAAGGAAAAAAGACTCCAAAAACATTTTGGAATGTTTCACCATTTGTAAAGTTAGGTCCAAAATTTTCTTTAATGATTTTCCCTAGAAACATTCGAGTGAACTTTCCTTTCTCCCTGAACTTTGCAAATCACCTACATGAATATCCTTCAAAGCCATGTCGTCGTTTATAAGCTGTCGGTGGTAAAACAGATCCAATGAAAAAGTTTAATAAAGATGCTGATAGTGTTATTAATAATGTGATTTGTACTACAGTTTCACCCCGCATACCAATTAACGCAATGCATAGTACAACTGTCATTGTAATAACACCTAAATGTCGATGTGAATATGTCTGAAAAACTGCTTGATCAAAGAAACTTTTCCTACCAATGATTCGAACGACATTAACAGAATCACCTTCGATAATAATACCGAACATTTTCACATTGTTTTCCTAGGAAAAAAAACATTCAATATTACTCGAAGCTTTAGTTTTTTCGATGTCGATCTTACTTTGAGAATATCACGAACAGTTTCTGCAAAACCAATTGCATACATTGCAGCAGCTACTGCATCTAGAAAGAATATTCCTTTCGAGAATGACTGATCATCTATCTTCCTTACTAGCAAATGAAAAGATTAAACCAATAGCACCACCAAATTCAGGTCCAAGACTACGTGATATGAGATAATACGTTCCGCCGCCTTTCACTTCGCCATTTGTACAAATAGCACTCATTGAAATAGCTGTTATAACTGTAACTGCCGTAGAAACGATAACAATAACGCACGCCAGTCCGATACCAGCCTGGCCAGTAACCCATGATAAACGAAGAAAGAGCATAACACCGAATATATTCAATACGCAGCGAATCTAAAAGAGAAACTTCATTCATCATGAGTTTTGAAATCGATGAGAACTTACAAGAACACCAACGATCCAACCAAATTTAACAACTTCAATTTTTGGTTTGTTATCCATTTGTGATGGTTGATCCATTTGTGGCATCAATGTACTCACCATCTCACTATTCAGATCAATCGTCGATCCTAGTCGAAGTTTTGATGAATTATTCGTTGTTTCATGTAAAGCTTCGAGCGTTGGTCGCGTTTTTGATTCAGGCGATGTGATCGAAAATAGATTACGATAATGATCAATGTGAGGTAATGCATCAATAGTATCATAAGCACATGGCTCTTTCTGGTGATCGTCAATTGGCGGAGTGCTGAAAGTAATGTTGATCTGTGGTTGAAGTAAACCAGATGTTGTGCTACTGTATTCACTATCATCGTCGGCACCGATTAAAATTTTGATTTTCTTATGATTTGGAACTGCTGATGGTTGGACAGCTGACGATAAACCTGACAAAATAGAGAGAAGAATGATACATGCTATGTAAGAATGTTCTTCGAAACGTACTACTTGGAATACTCGTGGCTTTTCCTAAGGATTCCTGTCCACTTGCGTCGTTATCTGATACTTTCGCTATTTGAAAACGAGCACTACTAACTGACCGACCCATTCCCGCATTCGCATCGTTATTATTTGTACTTGTCGTAATCTCATTTTGAAAATGATTTGCATCGGACATGGTTAGTAGTTTGTAATCATCTAAAACGAAGAAAAGAGGATAGAATTAGTCGTCAGATGACATCTAATCCTATTGCATTAACAAAACAACAGATGAAAATTAGCAGATTTTCTTATTTATTTGGCAAGTCAAATCAAACCATTTGTTTCTCTAGCTATTCAATAAGAGAAGAGAATAGAATCCGGGGCTTTTCTCTTCTTCGTTGCTAACGTGATGCATATTATTTTCGCAAGCATCTACAAATTAGTATGCACTCCATGTAATAGTCGAAGATCAGCGGGTAGTCATGATTATTAATACTATTTGTCTGAGAAAAGAAAACATTTCTTTCTCTTTTTTTTTCTTACTTTCAAATTGATTTTGTTCTTCGTCTGGTTTTTTTTTAGTATGATAATCTAAAACAAATGAATACAACTGATTCCATATGTAAAATTGAAAAATGTCTGCTTATTTCACTTGACTACACAGACAAACGTAATGCCAGATTGTCGAATGGAATGGTAAAACAAAATAGTTTGTCTTTGAAATACAGTCATTCATTTGCGAACAAACAAACAAAAGATCTTGTACGAGAGACAAAGAACTCATCAGTCTGACTAATTAATCCAATAATCTAGTGAATTGATTCGACTTCAAATTCAAGCAATGACAATCGAAAGAGAAGACAAGTCGATTCGATTAGCAAGACAGTTTCCTCAAACTAATGTAGCATAGTGTGAATGGAAAAAGATTAGACAACGACAGAAGTAAATTACCTTTCGAGATAATAAAAAAGTACTCATGAAGAAAAATGATGCGCGTGTATGCCTTATGCCATATCTGTGACTTGCATTCTGCTTGCCTTAAATAGAGAAGTGCTAATGGAAAACGAGAAAATAGCTTCGCTCTCTCTTATTTTTACTCTGATGACGATTGTAATCGAAAAGTTGTTAGAATAAAGGAAAGAATTGCAAAAGGAATATCTATCTCATCAAACTTTAACAACTCATGCAAATACTCCATGCGCGTTCTCAATGTCATCAATAGGCAGAACATCTCACGACGAACTTTTTCGATGGTATTTACTTTATTGAGAAAATCATCTTATATTCAAATAGCAAAGAAACAAGGAGATAAGGTTCACTCGATTCTCTTCTGTTTCACACCTGAGAAAGTCACTTGACTAGCTAAACTTAGTGATTACACCGAGTTTTTCTTCATATACATACACGCATACACAAAGGGGAAAAGAATCGTGGTAGAATGCAGTAAATTGCAGAACGGAGAGGAAAAAAGCAAAAAGAATCCATGATGTATTCTTGTGCAATTTGTCGGTTCTCTCCTACTTGCCGAGAACACGATATAAAGAAAACTTTGTATATAAGCATATTCTACCAGCATGTTCAAGTACCCAAAAAAAAAACAGAAAGAACGGGAAAAAATGGCATTGTTTCAAACAGAGAATCTTAATTTATTTAATAATAATTCTCTGTTTGAATAGAACAGTAAATAAACTCTTTCTCGATGACATTGCAATCTTTCATTCTGAACATAGGAGAAACAATCGATGTATTATTTTTTACCGCGTATAAACAGAAGTATTCGTCAAGATTTCATTTACCTCCTTCACTGTCCGACGAAGATTAAACTAACAAAACAAGAATTTTCGAATTTGGTAATTCAAAAATCACTGCTGCTGCAGCTGCTCGTTCTCCACTACCGAACGATTACTTCCTTCCAGTAACACTCACATAACTAAATGCTTTTCTTCATGCATCCAGTAGCATAATCCGAACCGCGTTACTCAATCTTTTCTCATCAATAGTTACGTTATACTATCTGTTCTACATGAATAATTGTAACATGGTGTTTTCTTTTATTCGCAGACGATATTGGCTCTAGATAATCCGATGAATTATTAATTATCTCAAGAGATGTATAAAGAAGAACGAAAGAATTCTACACTTCTGCACGATATCTTCGAAACTAGCATCTTGCTCCATACAAATAAACACTATTCAGATATTATTATATTTATTTTGATTATTATTTCTTCTTCTTTCCTGGAAAAGTACGCGTTGCATCGTTTATGTAACCGCTTTCCTAACAGCTGGCCTTGACACGCTTTGTCAGAGCGTCCAATTCTATCGTAGCAGCTTGCACAATGATACTCATGCAAATAACGTCAAGACTATTCTGTTGTGTTCCTCTTGCTCACTCGTGTTGATCTCAAGTAAATTTTACAATCTGCTGCAACTTTATTTTCAGCATTGATCAAAGGAAATTAATGATTTTGAATGGTGTTTTCAAGCAAAACATAGATCAATGTTACCAATGACACTTCTGGCCATGCCTGATGTTTATAAGACTAACTAATAAGCTCGAAATGATTTATGTCATGACATAATTGCTAATGGAGGCAAAAGTGTCATGTTAGTTCTCTTTCTGTACGGATTCCATCGAAAAGTTATTCATTCGTTAAATAGTATTTGAAAAGAGTAGAAAGTAGGCCGTTCATTGTTAATTTTGCTTTTGTTGTTGCACGAGCCGTGAGTGTCTCGTACAATGCTTTATCTTTTCCTTCAGAATAAAATATTAATCAAAAAAAAAAGAAGAAAACATGAAAAGAGAAATTGTTATTAATATTTACTGTTTATTAAAATAAAGAAAGGGAGAGAAAAAAGTCGAGTGTGACTTTTTATAAATGCAAATATTATAAAATAATGTGATTCTTTTCAAAGAAAAGTTCTTGTTGAAAACCTCTGTAGAACCCGACGGAATTTTTCTGCGGTTGGATTTCTATCTATGATGAATGATATCATTATTGGACAATTAACTATGTTTATCAACTGAAATAATAGTGAATTTTTCATTAGGCAGACTAATAGTCCTGATGCGAGTGTCTGGAAATCGAACAAACGCATTTTTACAGGAAATATCTAATGAATTTTAAATAATAAAACATAATATTTCATTTTCCATTCGCGAAATTGAGTCACACCAGTCAAAAGTACATACTTGATGACTTATTTCTTTCAATAGAATACATTAATGGATGGAAAAAAAGGGTTTTATAGGCAAATAATGAAGAAATATGATAGTTCGTTTTTCGGTGCTAATGTTTATATTCTTTTATTCAGGTCTGAATGACTTTTAATATCTGGATTTATGTAAATATGTCTACACCTTGACTTGCCATGTAAATGTTTGGATGATGAATGAAATTTCATTTGGAAAGTCTTTCATGTTACTGGAACACTCATGTTTTCTCTTTGCTTTATACAATTTCCCCTCTTCAAAATACATTCATAATTGAGTACTTATCGATATATCTATTCATTTATTTGATGTCTCTTTTACATACGTCCCGCCAATACATTTCGTTGAATGACAACGTCTTCCAACCATACAATATACAGGTCGATTTGATTAATAGCCTCTCTTGAGATCACCTTTACCTTTTATCTTTTTCCTTCTTGTCTTCTAATAGTCTTCACATGTACACACCTTTCCTTCGACTTAACATATTTTCATTTTCGAACTCGATTCGTCTTATGTTCTTTTAATCGGTTTCTCGAAAAGAAGAGATACTGCTGTTCGAACCGACAGATACCAAGAAATGATCGATGAGCATGCTGCTTCCGAACATAAGTGAGAAAATGATAATGACTTACGTTGTCATCGTCGAAGTCTCGATAAATATTTATACGCGTGTGTATATCTATCGGAATTTTTCCTTCTTTCTCAATTCATTCAAAATAAGAATTCAAGAATTGTATGTTCGCCTCATTAAAAGATCATTTTTCATTTTGTCTATTCTCGACTGTCGACCGACAACCAGATGCACAGAAGCATACACACACCTTGTTCAATCTTACACTCAATTGAGTCGAAATGTAACACATTGAGTTAAAAAGGACGAACATCAATAATGTTAATTCGATTTAATTTTAATTTTACATATTTTCGTAGAAAAGAAAACATTGCATTGATTGCCGACATAAACAGAAAAGTTATGTGTTGCATCGGTGTTAAAGATAGTGATGATTAAGAATTGCCAACCAAAAAAAGAAAAATCTTTCGATTTGATCAGTTACTCTTCGAGATCAAATAATTGCCTACTGGCGATTTCAATTTTCTTCTACTCGGTGATCGATTGACAGGCGGCATCTCCTCTAAGTTCGTTTCTTAGCGGGATGTGTGTGCACGTATATACATATATAATTGTGTTACGTCAACATTACACCGCTCGCAATTGTCAGAAGAGAGAAAGAAAGTGAGTCAAGTATGTGTCTATACTTGCAGAGAAGATGTGATCTTTCTCTTCTTCTTCAGGTGTTATTATTTGTTCGTGAAAAAGTTGACTTCACAACATCGTATGGCTCATTGAGCAAAGGCGGGACCCCTATGCCGACACAATTGACAAGAATAGTGATCATATTCAACAAGCAAACATTGCAAGATTCTTTTACTGCATTCATGTGCCGCTCGATCACTCTTGTAAAGAGATCATTGTTTTGTAGTTTTACATCTACTAGACGATACATTTGATGACCAATCGAATGCAAGTAAAGCTCAAAGGTGAACACGATCTTCAACTTTAAGAATTCATCCCCAACTGACATCACCCGGATGTCCGTCACGTCCAAACATAGAACGACGTGAACCTGAATAAACAAAGACAGAAGTCATAGCAAGAAAGTTTTATCTGATTTATCTCTAACAAGCTCAGTATCATTCATCTTCTTCTGACAAATGAATAATGTGTACCACCTTGTTCTTACTGAGAATATCTGTCTATGTGCGTCTATCAAAATCTTTCATCACTTCCGTCTTGTCATCATTATATTAACCAATATAAGAGCAAGAAAAGAGATGTTTCGCGTTTTAATATCCTTCTTAAATCGTGTGAAAAGATCAAAACTAAATAATTCAATCAACTCAATTGCTATTGTTAATTTGCATTACAATCAAAATGAACACATCACGTCTTGTGTTGCAATCGCAAGAGTGCGGATTGAAATCGAGCGAAGGCGTTTACTATTGTCTTTATAAAGCTTCCCTTCTCTCTTGTCTTGCGCACAGTATGATATCGAGAAAACGGCAATAATAACTTCTGTCAACGATAATAAATGCATTTTGATCATGCGTAGCCTTTGCTGGGTGAAAACGAGAGAAGGTAATTATATCTTTCTTTGCGAACAGGTAATGTACAAAAAAAGGCAAGCAATAGGCTTTTAAATGCCATAAATCAAATCTGGCAAGTTAGAAACACCCTCCTCGTCAATCAATATTACCTCTAGACCATGAGAACAAGGTAGACAAAAAATAAAACGAAAAAGATTTTTCAAAAAATGTATTTTTTATATAATTGTATCATTTACAGATTTTTTTTCATATATGATTACTTTTTTCTTTCTCTCTTCTCTTCTTGGTCGATTGATACAAACAAACTTGAAAGTTGATCATTAAAAAAAAGGAGAAAAAAATGGGCCGACATATCACCTCGCGCTTTTTTTTCTTTTGATGTTCTCTCGACTCTGATTGGTCGAAAAATGTCTTCTATTTTTCTCGAATGAGAATCGATTATGCATAGAAATATAAGAAAGAGAGAGAGAGAGAAGAGAAAAAGAAAGTTACTCGTCCATTAGATCGAATATATATTCTTTTTATTGCAAAAGGGAAAAAAATCGTTTCTTCTCCTATTCATAATTAATTGCCGACATTACATTCCATTAACAAAATTTCGATAGATACACTTAAATTACTATTATTTCAATTACTATCGAACAAGTTATTTGTCAAATTCATAATTACGATTAGCGATATTTAGAAAAAGCAAACTACGTATATCTTTATTTTGAATTCTGCTTTTTTTTCTTTACCTTGGTTAAATAATGGTAAAAAACGAACACCAACTGCAACCGATGCCATGGGACACACATCATCATCATCATCAACAGCAACAACAACAGCTTGACTATTATATGAATACACCCGCAACTTCCTATACAAATGTCAACTTAATCATCAATAATACCAATCGCATTAACTGTAATGGAACTAATCAAGCGCCAATCGAAGCCAAACTGAGCCCAGTGCCAGCGGGCACAACGCTACAGACTGTTCCGACTTCGACACAGAAATCGCGGCCGAACTCAACAAAGAATTCCTCGTCATCGTCGCCTCCAACTGACTTTACATCAACGTCAACTCCTCAACATAAAGAATTCTATCCATGGATGAGTGACAAGAAGCACGGAACAAATAAAAATAAGAATACATCGAAAAACAATTCAGGACATAATACAACATCAACATCGTCATCGTCGTCATCCTCCGGTAAGATTTCCGCTGATAGGCCAACTTCTTATTCGAGTGTAAAGATGAGAATGAACAAAGGTGTGAAGTCTACAAGGGTCAACGATTTCTTCTACTAGAAATCAAGCTAAACTAGGTGAGAAAAATTCATGGACCCTAGCAATACAAAGGTGTCTCTTGTTCGACACGCATACGAAATGATTTAATTCATCCAATTGTCATCAGGTGATGATATTTAGTTTGCTTCGCGTGTCTCGTGTTTTTGCAAAAAACAACTCTCAATAGAATTCATACACGTATTTTGATGAAGAGAATATTTAGATCGAGTTCTTCTCATAACCTAACCATTTGTTTGTCTCGACTGATACATGTTTTTCATCTTCGTTTACTGACAGGCGCGCGCGCGCGCCCGTCCGCATTTCTTTCTATTGACGATGATAAATGACCATATCATTATTCATCCAATACCGACGCGTTCTCATCGAGCGAATAGGATACAGAACATTGAATCTTGTCATTGCAAAAGGTTTCTTTTTGTCTTCCTTTACATTGATCTATAGTTAAGATAGTTATTGTCGTTTGTATTTCCTATAGATAAAAGCAATTCAACACCATCGAAACGAGCTCGTACAGCTTATACAAGTGCTCAGTTAGTTGAACTTGAAAAAGAATTTCTTTATAATAAATATTTGAATCGTCCACGACGAATTGAATTAGCACAAACGTTAAGTTTAACTGAACGACAGGTAAACGATAAGAATGCGAAGTTTTCCTTTATCTAATTCTTAATTTTCTTTTAATCCTCGAATGCGTCATTGCAGATCAAGGTAAGAAACATTTTGCTCTTCAATTATTTCCAATCTAATCGATCTTTTCTTTACCTCTATAGATATGGTTCCAAAATCGGTAAGTCAAATTCTTGTCCTTTTTCTTTATGTCTCATTCTCGTTATTTCTAGTCGAATGAAGGATAAAAAAGATGGGAAAAGCCGAACGTCGTATAACAATGGCTGTATGCTTAGCCTGAACAATTCTCCATTGGCGACATCAACAACAGACAAAGATGAATTAAATTCATCGTTGGCTCTTCGTTCATACCATCATCATCATCCTGCTCAACATCATGGATACTATCAACCACCGCCACCTTCAGCCATGTCCGTCCCATTTTCAACATCACCATCATCAAACTATTCGAAATCATTTCAACAACAAATCGATTATACGACAACACCACCGACAGATATGTATGACATGTCAGCAAACTATTGTCTCAAACAATCACCGACATCTCCATTCAATCCCTCGACTTACTATACGAACAATGTAGGAAATAATTTGAAAACGAATTATTTACCAGCAACTTCCTATGAACGTCCACCAGTACCATTCGATTCATATTATTTTACTTCGGACACATCATCTGTTGTACATCATCAACAATCCGGTCCAAATTTGCCTCCATTCGCATAGAACATATATGTTAAATAATCTTCTATTTGTTTCTATTCTTTTGTTCTCTTTTGTCTAGTCTTGATAATCTTTCTTTTTTTCTTCTTCTTGCAATTCGTATGTTTATTATTCTATTGTTGTTAGATGTTGATTTTCTCTCTTCTTTTCCTTTTGTGTTCTACGATTTGTCTACATTATATAAGAAAAGAATCTGTTCTGTATAACTGTCAGAAAGTGTGAGTTCTTGTAAAAAACGAAAGAGATTTGATAGATTTACACAACTGAATTCTCATTCAATCGTTCATGTTCATCTCGTAACTCGCGAAAGCACAGTACAGAAAAAAGTACTTGAGTTCTGACCCAGTTGTTAACCATCTAATGACGTACACAAGTGTACATCTTTTGCTACAAGTTAGATAATGATGCTATTCGTATCTAGTTCATCCTCTCATAATTAACAGCCCTCAGCTGTTCGTATTTTTAAGTGAGTAAATACATTATATTAGATAAGTAATATGATAGTAAAACGACTATCGTACAAACCATTCAATAGGTGCCGATGATGTGATAATTTAACTTGACATCTCTCGAAGATTTTCACTCATACCAGAGACAATAACGTTAAATAACTACAATCAAGTATCGAAGGTCATTTGATACTCTCTTCAAATCATCAGCAGTTGTATCATACAGTACTACCGTTTTTACAATCTGGATATTCAGTCAACAAGAGATTGCGATGGAAACAAAAAGAATATCTGACTTGTGCCATTGATTGATATTATTATTATCATATCAAACAGTTATTTAGTCCGACTTCATCATCTTAAGCAAACGATCATCTTGTGCTTCGTTCATTCAATCTTTTGTTTGTTTTGTCGCATAAAATGTGTTGATTACAAAATAAAAGTAGCACTCTTCAACTTGGCACTACCGATCGAAACAATAATACAACTTATAACAAGTGAAAAGTCTTAGAAATGCTTTCAACGTATCGACACGCGTCTCTCCCTCTTTTTTATAACAAACTTTGTTGATGTACGACATCAATTAGCATACTGGCGAATTGTTTTTTTGACTTGGAAAGCTCCGATAGAGACTGCAAGTCTCCTTATTATCCACCCTTATGCAAAGAACCCATAGAATTTTCAATGTGAAATCGGTTTCGTGAAAGAAAGTGCGCAGATCGATGACGGGTTTAGGCTGACATGGAGACCAGCTTGCTCCGTGAGGTCGAAATCAATGAATTACAAAATAGAAACATGGATGTTTTCTTGATTAAAGCAGATGAACAAGGTATCGAATTGAGGTCGTTTTTTATTCAATATAGTGCATGTTGACAGCGATTTTTCATATTTCTTTCTGTGAAACATATTCTTGTTAATTTCAATTTTCCGATCAAGACATCAAAACATCGAAGATCATCATATTGATGAAGTCATCAAATATTATTGATGTATAAGTAACACACAAGAATCAAAGATGAAAAAATGAAAACTTCAATTTGTTTATGTTTTCTTTACCTCTCCTGTCGTCACAATTTTCAGAACATCAGAATAGCATTCAATATTCGTCTTTCCCCCGCTTTCTCTCTCTTCTTTTCTCTCCTTCACTTTTTTCTCATATTTACCTTTTTGCCTGATTGAATCCTTCTTATGGCATGCGCATCGCTTTCCTATTGGTTATTTTATCAAACTCACTGCCACTTGAAATCGAATCGAAGTTGGTGTTGTTATTAAAGTATAATATAATAGTAGGTGAAAGCAGAGAGCAGAAAAAGAGCATACAAATTTCAGTCGAAAGTCATTCTATCACATAAACCATTCTTCACAATTCACTCGCCATTATGAGTGGAGGTATTCACTACCGAAAAAACTTTCCATTCACACTTCCGACTATCTTCTCTTCTTCCTTCTAGGTCGTATATTGTACAACGTTCCATGTTCGGTTTGCCATGATAACTCATCCGGCAAACATTATAGTGTCTACGCCTGTGATGGGTATGTGAAATCTTCCGTAGAAAAGGTTACTGATGTTGTTCTTAGAAAAGATGATGTTGTTAAACATCGATCTGTATTCTGAAAAGATGAAATTGCTTGAAGACATTCTCACGTATTCGTCTTTTCAATAACCATGTATATGTGTGTGTGTATACATACGACTTGTTAATACATTAGGAGTGAGCACTTATCGAGATTCACGAGAAGTGTGTCGGACAATGACTGACTCGATTCTTCAAACATGTGTATAGTATTTTTTTCTTTATTCTAAGAGTTATGATTGGTAGAAATGAAAGAAAACTTTTTAAGGATTGAAATGATTTTAAAGTCGAAAGACTTTCTGTTGACATATTGCTTGTTTTAGTTGCGCTGGTTTTTTCAAACGATCCGTTCGACGCAATCGAGTTTATCATTGCAAAAATCGGAACAAATGTGTCGTAGACAAATATCGACGAAATCAATGTCGCGCTTGCCGTTATCGTTCGTAGTCATGTCTTTTTCTCACAGTACCTCATGTTCCTTTATATCTAGGTCGATGTATCGATGCAGGAATGAACAAAGATGGTAAATGACAATGCGAATATCCATTTTGAAAAATCTTCTGTGTTTAGCTGTTCAAAATGAACGAGGTCCAAGGCAACCATTCCCAGATCGACATATGCATATAACCGGTTCATTCGGAGTTAAGCCAGAGGTAGAATGTTCACTGAAGTTGTCATTAGAATATCCGACTGTACAATTGTAGATTTCTTATGTTCCACCAAGCGTCCAAATACCTTTGTCGAACACTCAATTTCAGTCTACTCCATCGTTATTCAAATTAGATTTATACGTGTATGAAATGGCTGCTCGTATTCTTTTCTATATCGTGCATTGGTTACGTTCAATCAAAGAATTCCAAGTCGTTCATGTCAAAGATCAGGTAAATTAGATGGCGCTCGTGTTCATACCCATCGATCGTGTTTAGATCGCTAGTCTTATTCATTGTTGGCATGAGATCTTTCTTTTATCATTATGTGAATACAAATTTGATGTGCCATGGATGAATTTGATTCATTCAGGTAAGATCTTTCCGTCGAATAGAACAGTTCGAGGATTAAAATTATTATTTTCCCAGCCGATCGATCCAATGCAATGGGAACCAAAAATCTGTATCTAATGCAGGATATCTACAATCGTATTCAACAGATGAATATCGACTACGTGGAATATTTCCATCTAAAACTTTTACTCTTCTGTCGATGGGGTAAGTTTTTCTTTCATTAGATGGAATTTCGGTTTGAAAGATGCGATTTATATCCTAGTGGACATAAATCAGAATTTGAACGAACGCAGTTTACTGGATGATCATTTAGCAGCATTAGAAATGCATGTTCATCGTACTTATCCTCTTCAACCACAACGTTTTGATCAATTGAAAAGTCTTCTATCTAATCTTCGTACAATATCATCACCCGAAATTCAAAATGTCTTCTTCAAAAACATTCTCGGATATTGTTCGATTGAATTAATTCTACGAAATTTATACGAAACGATAACAACAACGTCATGAAGAAATCCTTGGGAACAGTACTCGTGAATGACTTGAGTTGTGGGTTTTTTTTTTGTATTGTGTGTTTGTACAATTTTTTTTGAAGACAATCTCCTTGAAAATGTGAAAGATTAGATAGCTAAACTAACGCGACACGGCGGTGTGTCGGTCGTAGAACACTTCCGTATGTGTTTTGATCTGATGAGTTGGTAGATTTGTTCATTTCGATTTACGCTTAGAATGAACAATAAAATTTGATCGAGTTCATTGTTAGACTAGACGAACTTGCAATCGATTGAAACAAATATCATTTCCTCACTTACCTATCAGTATGAAAAGGTTCTCTCAACTACCGACGAAAACAAAAGATCTCCAAAGGTACATGTGTCCCCATTATTGTTTCCGATATATTTACTATTCGATTGAGTAGGAAATTGACGATGAAATCAGTTTTTGATAGCAGTACTATCAACATCATTCTTACTTCTTGGTGATGAAATATTTGTCTAAAACTTTCGAAATACTGTCTTCTATATTTATCCGATACAAAAAAATCTAAATGAGATTCAAAAGCGAATTAATCTCTCTACTGATCAGATTTTATTGACCTTGTGATTAGCATATCAAGATACAAAACAAGTTTGAGTCAATACCGAATGTGAACGAAATTTAATTAAATCTTTGAAGTTTACGAGAAAAGATTCGTCGTCGCAATATAGTCTTTCGTTCAAGCATAGTAAATGTCCAATTCATTCGTCCTACTGAACTACTTCTGTTTATTCATCGATTTGTTGATGTCCTTGGAATTCAACTGTTATCGCAGTGTGCTTGTACAATGGGGTGACTGTATTAGCGAAAAGAAATTTCAACTTATATTCTATTCCATTTAATGCATTATGAAATTTGAGTGTAGGCAAATAGACAAATCTTCAAAACTCCTTTTTAATCAAAGAACGAAAGTGAAAGAATAAGAAAAAGTGCCTAACATTCGATTAAATTTTACATTTTTTTAATCATTGTTAAAAGTCGTTGAAATCTTTTGTGCGCATGTTTCTTTTCGTCGTCGTCTTGTCAATGTGAACTTAGCTTTTCTTTCGTATTAACGCTGAGAATGTGAAGCAAAATTTGAACAATGTAGCAAGAAATAGAAAAGCTGAATTTCTTTTTTCTGATTGTAAATATTTTCTTTTCGAATCTCGTATATATTCAATGTCTGGTCCATTTAATGGGAAGAGACAGAGAGAAAATTATTGAAGCGAAGAATAAGAGAAAGAGAATATGCATGAATTTAATTGCCGGAGTGGCAAAGGTGCGACCCTTTTTCCTCCCTTCTTTCACCTGAGGGGTGAACGAATGAATCGAATATATATATATATATGTGCGTGTGTGTGTGTATATATGTATGCCTTTGTGAAGAAACGAAAAAAAAAAACGAAGGAGAAGATTGTAGTCTTTAGTGTCGTCGTCTTGGTGGCTGTACATATGTACGAAACAAGCGACGACGTTCGTATTTGACAAAAGAAGGACATAGTGTGACTGAAGAATGAAAGAAAAAGAAGAGAAGAAAAAGAAGAAAGAGAAAGACGAATCACTCTACTGCCCACGTTTGGTTTGTATCGCGACGAACGAACGGAAGGCAGATTAGAGATCAACATAATAAAATTCGCCATACGATGTGTCACCATTGCTCAGTCATTCTTTTACTCTTTTTCTCATCATTTCGTTAGCTTTTTATTCTTACTTTCTGCTCTACAAACAACAACAACAACAACAACATCGTCATCGTCATCATCATCATCAACAATCAACGAAACGATTCGCTTGTTCTGTTCGTAGCATACATATTAGACGTGATTTTTTTTACTTGTATTAACTGCTTTCATTCGTTGTCGTTACCCGACTCGTTCTCATTCAGTCATCCGTGTGACGAACAACATTTTATAACGCGCATGTACACACACATAACTAACTCTGAATAAACGAAATAATAATCAACTATGTTAATGCCTCCAACACCCACACAGTTATTAACCATTCACCAAACTGGTCAAACAGCTCCAACATCGTCTTCGCCAGTTTTGTCTCCACTAACTTCGTAAGTTATTTCGCTCTCGTCTACATTTGTGTTTATTTAAGGACAATTTCTTTTTGCTTGTAGAACATCACCTCCAGCAACACAAACTGATCCATCGCTAGCAGATAATCCTGAATATTTATCTCAATTATTAAAAGATAAACGACAATTAGCTGCTGTGCCGAATATGTTCATGCATATCGAACGATTACTTGATCAAGGTCAGTGCTAAAAAACAATTCTATTGATTTGCATTAGATTATCGTTCGACTTTTTTTAGAAATTAACAAAGTTCGAGTGAATCTATTTAATCTAAGTACTCGTCCGAAGATCGATCTACCTGAACCTAATGGCGAGAAGAAAATCTTTCAAGAAAAAGTCTTTATTCCGGTGCAACAACATCCTGAAGTAAGTTTCGCCGAATCCTTTGCATACTAATATCGTAATCATTCTTAAGTTCTATCATTGTGCTTTCTTTTGACCAACCTATAATAACAATGCATGATTTCTTTGTTCGATACTGTGCAGAAATAATAATAAGACAAAGAACTGAGATTACTTGATCGGTTTTCATTGTTTACATTTATCTCAAGTGTTCGTATCCGTTTGAGTTTGAAAATTTTTGTACTCTAGATTCACTAGTTCGTCGATATAAATATACGGTAAAGCAAAACTCTATTTGGCCAAGTCGTTTCTTGCTCTCTGAAAATAAAAAAAATCAAATCAACACACACATATATATCTCTTCCTATACATATAAATATCTTGTCTAAAACTTCACTTTTACACCCTTCATCTATTTTCTTCTGATATGCTTCTGCACAGTGAGGAAAAAAACACATCAATCGACTCATTTGATTCACCAAAAAAAAACCAACTACTGATTTTGTCGTCTATTGCGCTTTAATACGATAATAACTTCATCGATTGGATTCTTTCTCTTTCTAAAAACCCAACAGCTTTTAATTATTTTTCTAGTTTTTATATATTGATCATCATCGGTGTGTGCGGTAATTTTTTAAAAATATAATCATACTCTGTCTTGCATGTTTGTTGGCTCAATCCATATTATTTCGTTGTTTTTTTTTCTAATCACTCATTATTCGTCCATCGTTCGTTTGTGCGTGTCGCATGCCGAACCAAAAAAAAAACTATACTCAGCTAATCAAATTACTATATATTTATATACTTAATTTCCAACTCTATTTGTGTTCATATCACTACTCGATTCGTGTTTTGATCTTTCGAGATAACAAGCTACGTGTTTATTTGATGATTTCATTTGGTTTTGTTTTCGTCGTTTTAGTTCAATTTCGTTGGCCGAATTTTGGGTCCACGTGGGATGACTGCGAAGCAACTTGAAGCGGATACGGGTTGTAAAATAATGGTGCGAGGACGAGGATCGATGCGTGATAAACAAAAAGTAAAATTTCGAAAATTGATTTGTTTATTCATGAAGAAAGATTTGATTTGTAGGAAGATCAAAATCGTGGTAAAGCCAATTGGGAACATCTTGACGAAGAATTACATGTTTTAATCCAATGCGAAGATCACGAAAATCGTGCTTTGGTGAAACTTGAACGTGCGAAAGAAGAAATTATGAAATTATTGAAACCGGCTGTACGTAAACTTCTTTTGGTTTATGTAACGTATTCTCATTGACATTGAAATTTTCAGGCCGAAGGTGAAGATGATTTGAAAAAGAAACAATTAATGGAACTAGCAATTATCAATGGAACCTATCGAGAACCGAACCTGTTTCAGAAAAAATTACAACAGATTCAATTTCCAAATAACCGCATGCCAATTGGGGCCCCGCTGATATTGACGCCTCGTATGCAGCAAAATCTCCTTGCAGCACAAATTCAATCAGGTGCGACGCCAACTATGTTTACTACGACCGCCAATGGACAAGCGCAAGCTACATTAACAGCTGTACCACAAGGTTCACTGATTCAAACGACGGCGCCGAATGGTGAACAGAACTTCGTTCAAGTCTTCGGACCTTTGCCAACACTTGATCAAATGGGTGGAATGATTGCTGGTGGTGCACAATTATTCGAATACCCAGCATCGATTGATCCAAGTCAAGCAAGTAAATACCTTCGTTTTCGCATGTCGTTTCATTCGAATGAAACTTTACGCAATTTTTCTCTTTTAGCTTTTCCATTTCTAACAGCTGCTGCAGCGACAACCCCAGCAGGTATCAAATTTAATTCTCTCTATCTCTTGTCGTCCGCTTTCCGATCGACACCACGCTCTTGCTGTTATTGCCACGACAGGCATCATCATCATCAGCAGCAGCATCAGGATTTTCAACAACATCATCAGCCATTCAATCAGTCTATGTACCAAAAAGTTCCTAACTATGTCAAAAGCTAGAATGATTACTCTTCTCTCTCTTCCTTCTATTTCTTTCTCTTTCTTTCCTAAAACTTCGCTTTAACGCATGATCTCTTTTCCATCTTACAACCAGAAATTAAAGGATTATTGACAAATCTTGCTTTTTTGTTCTAAAACCAAAAAACCCAAACACCTGAATGCACCCTCTAACTATCAACCAAAATCAACATCAACAAACTAGGCTAGCATAGTTAATCCGAATATAATTATTTTATGGCAATAACAGCAGGTGACGTGCTTCTCGATTTAGTTAGTCAAGTTAGTTCTAGGTGAGTGTAGTTCAATAGTCTGCAATTCTACCTCTCCTTGTAGGCTCGTTGATTCCGTGATGATGATGAAGTAAAATAATATTTAAAAGAAAATACGCAAGACTAAGCATGTGGTAATACGTACGCTTCGAAGATTCTCTTGAGCATCCGATTCTTTGTTTTTGTATGACTTCTTTTTCTTTGAAACCGCTGTAGAACTGACTGACCTCACGAAAAACTGATTAGTTTTTGTTTTGGGATCATTTCATGTATATGTTTATGATGAATAATATCTCACTGCTTTCTCTGCTCATTCTCTTCTTTACCGTGCAGGTATAGCTACTAGAACAACAACAAACAATGCTTCCGGAAACGTCACACCAGGATCTGCAGCCTCTTCTATTTCTGCCCGTTATCAACCTTACACAATTCAACCACCTCGTCTAAATCGTACATAAATTTCTTCTTCTAAATAACTAAACATAAACCTTAACACCAAAACAACACCCAACACAACAACAACGGTTAGTTTGCCTCTTGTTTTGTCTAACAAAATCCAAGAGATTCACTGAATCTTTTCTTGTTCATTCTGTTGGTTTTTCTTGCATGAAACAAAACTCTTTCATTCCGTCATTTTCTAACATTTCATCTTTATACTTTCAACAACGCACGCGACTTATCATTATTACTACTACTACCACTCAATTCTCTGCTTGCTTCATTTATAACAAACAAAAAAGGCGTTCTCTTTCTTTTTTTTTTTCTATAGATCTGTGATTCGTTTTCTTTCTCCACTGATGAAACGATCTTGTTCAAGTTTCTTTTTGTTCCTCTGTTCTCTCTCTCTCTCTCTCTTGTGATAAAACGTGAAATGGTCACTATTACTGACGACTTTTCCAATGTATTATATTGAAAAAAAAACCTTTTTGTTTTTGCCAATTTTTTTGTTCATTTTTTTTCAATCGTATATGCATTCTCCAGTGTTTGGTTAACTTTCTTTTCTTTTTCTATACGAGTGTTTTTTTTTGTTATTGCCCAAGATCAAAATTTATGCTTTGACGCATATCGAACATTATATACATAAAAAAGGAATATAAAGTTGACATGGTGTTTTTGATCAATATTGAAATCTTTCATGTTTAGTGATTGACAAGATATGAACATGAGAGATCATAATTTGTGACAAGGACTATTAGAAGCTGAATAGAAATGAGATTTCTTCGTATTTTTGTCGAAAGAAATTTCTGTCAATGAAAGAACATACTCATTTCCCGTTCATGTCTTTCTCTTGCTACAGAAACTTGTTTCTCTTTCGGATCTGTCAATGTTAAAAATCAAAAGAATGAATGAACTGAAAAAAAAAAAAGAAAAGTCGATTACATTTCTCTGAAAAACATGTCAGAAACAGAATAGCAGATGCAGGAAGAACAAGCAGCACTTTCACAATCCTAACAGACAGTAAACTTCGTTATCTTGAGTTGAACAAATCGAGTTACAGCAACGTTCTTCCAGGTACAGATGAAGTTAGCCGAGAAAATCTATTCTAGTTAACGCTTGCTACTACTTGCATGAGAACCGGTAAGTAATTAACTGAAAAAAAAATCTCAGTATTAATAGAATAAATGATAGAATCTCTAGAGTATATCATGTAATTAGAAATGGAGAAAAAAAATATCTTTTTATCAAAAGTAATCATCTGTTTGGAGAAAGGCTGACTCTACTTTCTTAAAATTGCCTTTTTCTTCTTAGTCGAATTTCAATGAAGATTCGTTGTCAATTCGATCCACTTGAATTTCTTATTTATTAATGTATAATTGCTGGTTATCAACGGTTAGAAAAGCCGGAAGGAAGAGAAAGTATAAGGAAAGGGAACAATACAATCGGGATGTTTTCTCTCCCTCTTTCTCCGCGTAGTTTTCTCGTCAATTGATTTGAAGTGAATCGTTTTACTGTGGAAGAAATTTTGTAATTAAAATGAGATGTGTATGCGAGGTATTCATGGATTTCATTAGAATACAAAAGCGAGATTTAGATTTGAAATAAAACGGCGAAGTTGGACCGAGATGAAAGAAAAAGATCCGAGCATATTCTTTCAGACAACTTTTCTCGTCACATGTTGTTATTCATCTTATTATTATTAAATTAAAACTCATATCTATACGCCTTTCTTGTCGCTCAATGATGATAGATGAGCAGCCGACGAAGCGACAACGACATAGAGATAGCTAACTAGCCTGTTGGCTCTAAAAAAAACGGATAAAGACAAGCATAAGCAACGTAAATGAGAAAAAAAAGAATCGAAGAAAGACCAAAAGCTACTTAGTAGCTCTAGGGAATAAAGAGAAAGATGTTTCTTTTTTGCCTGTCTATTTTCTTCTACACTCATTTTCCTATCTCTCGTTTTATCTTGCGCACATAAACATCATCACTACCACGATCGTCTTATTCTGATTCACATAGACTCATTTCTTAGTTTTGATTTTTTTTCTTCTGTTTCTTTCTCTTCAGAACAGATCGACGAATAGATACGACCACGCAAAACAATCTTACATATGTATAGGTAATGCTTACATATCATTACACTCATCAATTTGATACATTGATCGCTAATTACATAAATCTATCTATCTATCAAATAATTCTGAAACGATGAGCCACAGTTTAGCGAAGAAATTCGATAAAATCGTTTCGAAATTGGGAAGCAAACATAAGGACGCGAAATCGAATGGGAATGAAACAAATGTCGATGACACAGCAGCGGATGGAAGTGGTGAAGTACATTACGAATCGACTCCGAAATTGAAAGGACATGCGTCTGGTTCAGGAAAATCGGATCAGATTTATCCGACTGAAGGCGCTCCACCCGTTCAAGTCATCCTCAACGACCTGAAAGATTCTCCATTTAAAGGTAAAAATCATTTCTTTTTCGCTTTATTGAATTGATCTGATCAAAATGATTGATGTGTGACAGCATCACTTCTTTTTATTTATTTTATTTGCTTGTACGTGTCATATATATGCAAAACGAAGCAATGATTCTTTTATTGACTGTTTAGAACTCTCCTCACATATCATTTAATAGCTGTCGTATTTTCATAACGAATGTTTCTTTTTTATTCTGATCTTGATATGCATTTATCTGATCACGTACTCCGTTTTTCTTCTTCTACCGAAATGTCTCCCACTTGTTAAAATCGTCCGACTAGTAAAACATCAAAACTGATGAATAATCAAAATGCACACAGAAAATTCCATTGATGACTCGAAGAGTCGAGAAAAACGAATAAACTGAATACCAACACATCAGCAGTAATACATACATTAGTTGATAAAGATCGTCGATTGAGAATAGTTTTGTTATTCTCAGCTGAATAGACCATGGCAAATAACTCTCGCGTTCGTACTTATAAATCGATCAATCGGCAACTCGATGAACGTTACCAGCGTTTACTCAAACTTGAACGAACTCCTTGTAAGTGTTGTTCAATGTTCAGCTAGTAGAACTTCGCCTTTTTCTCAAGTATCATTCGTTCGTTTGCCAGAACATTAGTGTGTAGATTGCAGACAACATCAAAAGAAATGATAAAACTGATTCCAATGACTTTTAAGATTTATAAATTCTGCTGATGTTTGACGGGAAGAGAAGAAAATAAAGGAACCATTGAAGTAATGTTAACACACACACACACGAGATAACTCGAAGAAAAAATAGAACGAAGATTATTGACATATTTTCGATACATATCAATAGAAAAATATTCGAAACATTCGATTTCAATTATGAGATTTTTGACTTGTTTGTATCGGTTGAGATAAGTAAGAAGGAAGTAATTAAGAAATAGCAAAGAACAGACAAGAATACTCGATTAAGTTATTGAAGATTTTCATGTTGATGTCTTTTCATTCGGCAAGTGATTGTCTTCTTCCATTACTAGTCGAACTCATATAGGTTAGATCTTTTCAACAAAAGATTCTTCTAAGAATAACAAAAGAAAACTTCTACCCATACACTATTCTTTCTCATCATTGCTTCTTTTCTTCTTCTTCTTCTTTCTTTCGTTCATTCATTCACAACTATGTCTTCTTGTGTTCAATTAAATTGGAAGAAGAAAACGCATATGCGTGCACGAGTTTGTCTAGCAGACTGAATGATGTGCAGTCGATGTTGGAGTTCTAACTACTTTGTCGAGTAACTCGAGAGAAATGTTTGTAGGAAACACGAACTGTAGTTCTATTTTTTTTGTATTTCTGTGCTTGCTGATCATATTAAGAGACGCGTAGTAAGTCTTTAACGAGAAATGCATATATATATATATATATATATATATACTGTAGCTCTGAGCAATGCGTGATAGACGATCGAGTCAGGCAAGCATATTTTCTCGTTATCGTTCTTATTTTCTTCTATTATTACATCTCAAGAGGCAAAACCTGTAAAAAAGTTGATTTGAGACGATTATCATTGATTGTTATATGTAAAAGAGATATTTGTTCTTCGAAAACAAAAACAACGCCTGTTTCGCATTGAGTTTGCTAAGCAAAACAAAATTGTCATGTATGGTTATTAGAGATTTCTCTATTTTGATTAGAGCCCATTCAATAGACAGAATAGAAAAATGTGCGTTGCCGATCATTTTTATTAAATTGTCACGTTTGCAATTGAATGCATATGTAATAATGATCATATTTTTCTCGGTTTTTCTTTCTTCTTTCGCTCTCATTTAAATTTCG